TTTTTACAGATCTTCAAAGTTTGAAGATCATTTTAGATATTGCTTTATGTTCAACAGTGTATTGCAATTCTTTGGAGCTCAATGATCTTGCTCCAAGAATGTATTTGGTTCTGCATTTTTTACAGTACATTAACTTTGAACATTTCTGATATGATTCAGATCATTTCTGATTCATGATAGAAATGTTGGTGAGGTGTTTTACACAAAAAATGATTTCCTGAACTCCTTTCAAACCTGATTACACTCCAGATCCAAATTTTCTAAATTAATCTGATAATACCTCATTTTAGTATAAGTACCATAAGTATTTGCATTGTACCTAGCTTGTGTGCCCATAGCTAGATGTGAAGGTGACTGACTCTCACTCAGATGGCCCCAGTTCGAAACCCAGCAGGAGCATCATCAGAGGACAGCAGATTCAAAGCAAAGGAGCAGCAGCAGGAAAGAATATTGTGAATGGAAAGCACAGCAGAGATGAAGTAAAGAAGAAAGAGGATAATACAGAGAAAGCAAAGTAAAGAAGAAAGAGGATAATACAGAGAAAGCAAAGTAAAGAAGAAAACAGCAGCAGTTGAATGGGAATTTTTTTTCTTTTTTTCTGCTCCATGCATATCTGGGGTCATTTTCAGAATGGGTGTGCAATGGGTTTCTGAATGGATTGTACAACAGTAATTAAAAGGGCGGGTGGGGGGTGGTTGCATGCATGCTGGGAAACAGGGGTCGTTGGCAATGCATGCTGGCTGCATTTGAGAACGACCCAGGGAACGACTGCTCCCCCAGCCGTTTGACAGTGACCAAACAGCCGTTAGCCCAACGTTTGGGTCAAAACGGCTTGCCAATGGAGCTGCAACGCAGGTTGCAATGGCAAAATTATTTGCTGGGTGCATTTCAAAGAAAATGTGCAAACCAAAATTTTCAAATCAACTTGACCACATTTAAAATCTTACTTTAACACTTATTTTCTTTAAAAACTTCTTCTGTAAGACTATTTTGTTATTGTACACTTGCATTTTACAACTCACAGGTAATTCCTGATATTGTAAACCTTTAAGAGGATAATATAATTAAAGTGCCAAGAGGAACGTTAGATTTAGTTCACTCCCTTTTTACCAAGCGTGTCCTAGACCAGGTTCTTTAAGTACTTCAGACAATGTACAGTGAGTGAAACACAAGTAATTTTGCTTTACAAGTGTTTACTTATTCCAAAACCTACGCAATCTAGACAAATGCTTATTACATACTCTGCTCCTTATTCAGAGGGTCTTTTACAACTGACTATATTCTGGATATGCAGGGCCTTTTATTAACTTTGGAAAAACCAGACAGTGAGGTCAGTGCTCAGATGATTATTTATTCAGCCAAACAAAAGAAAGGAAAGTATGAAAGTGTTCCTCAACTACGTTTCTCCACCAGTAATTTATATGGTGGTTGACTGCTTGAGGTGATCTCTGATTAAGGCAAAGAAAGATGGAAACAAGGTTGCATGCACATGCATGTGCGGCCATCCTGCATTAATGAGCTGGGCAAGGAAAAGTTAGAGCAATTCAGCACAGCTGACAACACTGATTACTGATGGGGAAACATAGTTGAGGAACACTTTCATAGTTTCCTTTCTTTTGTTCAGCTCAACAATAACCGTCTGAGCACTGACCTCACTGTCTGGTTTTTCCAAAGTTGATAAAAGGCCCTGCATATCCAGAATATATAGTCAGTATAGTAAATGACCCTCTGAAGAAGGAGCAGAGTACATAATAGGCGTTTGCCTTGATTGTGTAGGTTTTGGAATCAATAAACACTTGTGAAGCAAAATTACTTGTGTTTCACTCACTGTACATTGTCTGGAGTACTTGAAGTACCAGGTCTAGGATGCGCCCAGTAAAAAGGGAGCAAACTAAATCTAACGTTCCTATCGGCACTTTAATTAGATTATCTTCTTAAAGGTTTACAATATCAGGAATTACCTGCGAGTTGTAAAATTGCAAGTGTACAGCAATAACAATATTTTTCACCTCTTTGAGGTGTTTGACTATTTTTTGAATTTTTAAACTTTTTCTTTAACACTCCTTTTTTTAATGACAGTGTGAAAGATAACAAAAATCAAGCTTTAAAATGCAAGGAGTCAGCACAAATAGAGTATGTTTCCTCATTCAATTTTCAATTGTCTTTTTGGTGCAAGGAAAAGGTGCATTTTGCTCCTTGAAGAATTTATTTTGCCCCTTTGAAGTTTGACTTGAAGAGGCTAAACTGCATTAATACTGCTGGACTTACTGTACATTTCAATACCCAGGACCAGAAAAGTTTTTTGTAGAGAGAATTCAGCTGCGGAGAACTGCTGTGTAATGATAAGAATCTATAGGGACCCTTATGAGACCAGAATAAATGATTTATTTAAAGAAAATTTTTGTAGGAAAGATACTGTAGTTATAGATTCTACTTGTATATGTAAACCAAAAATAAAATATGTTTTTACCAAAAGATTATCACCCATGATACATGGAGTTCTTTGTTGTTATTGACACATTGCATTTTTCAGTTATGTTCTTGCGCAGTGAACAAATGACTAAAGTTTAATGTATCTATATATACAGTTAGCATGAACATTATTAATTGCACGTGATGCTTTCCCAATATACTGCACAGCTTTCTACCATACATGCATAAGATCACATTGGATTTTTCTAATTCCATTCTATATTATAGAATGACTTTGATAAGTTGGATTTAAAAACAAATCTGAATAATATAGGAACAGCACATTGTGATGCAAAATAATATGAATTCAAAAATCTTCATTACACCTATATAGTTGCACAAAAAATTAGGAAAAATAACATTGGTTCCAAGGTCAGAAACTATTTTAAAAGGATTCATGAAGCCCAGCGCATCTGCTGATAGATAAAATTTGCATCCGATAATTTTAAATTATTCGAGCTTTTTCTTCAAAAATCAGTACACTGAAGAAGAATTTCTCAATGGATAAATTTTTCTGATGTTGTTAAGAAGATAATTTGATAACTTTCAGTCATTATTGGGGATTCAGATCATCAGTCACACAAAAGGCTTCTGTGATGAAGCACTTTTAATGATTTTGTGCATGAATCACAGTGTCCTAATTTTCTTGACACATTTATTATATGTTCTATTTAATTTACCTCTATATTTTCAATTTGGAAAATCAGAGCAATGACCCGTTTTTTAATGTGAGTAGACGAGCCTCTTGATTAATCCATGAAAATTTGAGATTTTCTTAATATTTCAAGCCAATTGTTGAAGTCACAAGAAAACACACTTTTATTGAGCCATGGACCTTTCAATGCAGTTTATTTTCATGATAAATCATCCCTGGTTATTTTCTTCATCCAATAGTCCCCTGCCAAACTTCTTCAATGAAGGGTGCCATGTGGTTTTCAAGGTTTTCTGCAGTCAGGAAAGGAGTTTCTCCCGCTGGAGGTTCTCCAATCTCCAAAAAATCTGCCGTCAATGTACCACACTGAAATATAAAACATTACATCAATTATTGATATCCATATTGCTGAACCTACTATTGGAGGAAATGGAGCATCAGTTCAAGTAAAATTCAGAAGATTTTGTCTGGTTGCCAAGTGGCACAAATTTGACCCCATATATACATATTTTGTACAGTGGACCATCAGTTAACAACCTTCACTGGTTCCAGACAAACATTTCTTAAACAAGAAGTTTTTCAACCAAATTTGATTTTCGCATTGAGTTTGGGAAGAATTTAATACATTCTGTGAACCCAAAAGACAATTGAGTATTGAGTATAAAAAAAAATGCAAGATCATCAACTATCATCAGAATAAGTTGTTGCTGCATCTCATGTGAGCCCAGAATGTTTTTTCAGTGTTAAATGGAAGTAGCACTGGGGAAAATAATTCAAAAGAATGCACACTGTAGGATATACATGTTAGTAGGAGGTAATAAGGAAATTTATTTTTTCAATGCTGCAAGTAAAAATCAAAGAGACCCTTTCTAATGGCTGCATAACTAGAAAAACCAAGCGCAGAAAAGCAAATAATTCTATCACAGAAAAGCAAATAATTCTGTCAAAGAAAATTATTTATGAATAATGCAGCTGAAACAAATTTTAAAACACAAGACTACATATATTAGAGTGCCACAACAAGAGAAGAATAGTCATATCAGTTCATAGGAACATTATTATCTCCTAGATTGTGTCATGCATTTCAGCCTTCAAATAAAATTTTGTGCTTTCCAATTTGGAATTTTTCCCCAATAAAAAGTTCTTAACTAAATGTTGAATTTTGAGGGATTTTTCTGCAAATCAAAAGTTTGTTAACCAAGCGGTTGTTAAGTGAGGGTCCACTGCTGTAAATGGATGAATTAGTAGGTTGCAATTATTGGAGGGAAGAAAGCATAGTTTTGATTCAACCCTATTCACGCAACTTGAAGAAAAAATTTTTTATTCTATCATAACAAAGCATATTTGCAAATCATATATATATATGTATATATATATATTTTTTTTAATTATGTTCTTATATACCCCGCCAGGATGATTACAGGAATCCTGATGATGTTCAGGATGGGGATGTTCTGGATGTTCTGGATGATGGGGATGTCCTGGATGTTCTGGATGAGGGGGATGTCCTGGATGATGGGGATGTTCTGGATGATGGGGATGTCCTGGATGTTCTGGATGAGGGGGATGTCCTGGATGATGGGGATGTTCTGGATGTTCTGGATGATGGGGATGTTCTGGATGTTCTGGATGATGGGGATGTCCTGGATGTTCTGGTTGAGGGGGATGTCCTGGATGATGGGGATGTACTGGATGTACTGGATGATATTCATCAGGATGTCCATCAGCATAATGATCTATTGTAGCAACAAAAAGAAGAAATCAATTATTTAATTATAAATCCATGATGGGTCTTGATGTCTAGTATTCCTGCATATACAAGTATACACTTTACCTAATAACTGAAATCACAATTAGTATAAGCTTCAGGTCTACTCCAAATATGATTGCTCAACTTGAAATGTATTGTAAATGGAGTATCTTGTGGCAAGGAATTGCACTTCCCACAAATTTTGAGGTTTGGGCTACATATATCTTTTTGAATTAAAGAACAGCATGTACATTTGGATTAAAGTTCAAGAGAGGTATGTGGTGTATGATGTAACCAGTTCTCTAATACTTCCAACTGCTGATTTTCAACTTGAATGATGCAAATGCAAATACTGTACTGTACTTGTAATATTGGTCTTTGGTTCTGCTTCTGGAAATATGGATGTGGATTTTGTTTACTGTCCCATTGGATAAAAAAAATTGATAAATACATTTTGGAAGCTTTTTTGCTGATGGCACAAAATTGTGCTTGAACTGCATTGAAAGCTAATTGATTTTTATGTCAATTTCAGCTTGATGAACTTGTCATTAAATGTAGCTTTTGTGACTGTAAATCAAGACAGAGATTATTGATTGTTTGAGTATATGCACAAATGTCACACCATGATGATCATCATGGATGCCCTTGCATAGCAATGCTGTACTCACAATCAATTTGTGGCGCTGAACTGCATCCTTGCAAAAGAACCCCAATGGTGCAAATAATCAAGCACTGAGCAAAAATTAACTTCATGTTGGATGCCAACACAGCTGACTCTTCAGACCAAATTATTCTTATGTTTACAGTGACTGTGATGTCAAGTTTGACTGAAATCCTTTTTGAATGCTCAGGAGAGCCAAGCAACAGTGTATTTATAACCTGAGATTTTCCAGAATTTTCTGGTTCATGGGCATTGATTAATCACAATTTTCAACTCATATACGACAACATTAATCTTGCTTTTGTTTCTCCTTTTGATTATTCAATAACTGAGGAAAAATGAGCTGGATGAAGTACCTTGATTGATGATCAACCAGGATTTATTGCGGAAGATGACATTTTAGATTAGGTTTGATTTTACTGACTGATGGTGTTCATAATTCAACATGATCTGAAAAATTAATATGCATAGCCACAAACATGAAATCAATTTCTGAGGATTCATTTCAAATTCATGGCTTCCAGGATCTGTGATCTAAAACAACTCTTTGAAAAAAATCAAACTCTTGTGATGATTAATGAATTTTTCATGATTCTCTTGTAGGCTTGAAATAAAACTTGTTTTAGAGGAATATGTGTCAATATGGAGTCAAATAAAAAGGTAGAGTTATATATAAAGAAGAAAATTTTCTCAGCAGCTTGAAAATGCCCATTCCCATGTATTTTCATACCTTGTTCCACAAATTTTGTATAGTGTATATTGTATAGTACTGTATTTGTATTCTTTCAGGAACTAAATTTCCATTTTTGCTTTATTTCAAAATGGGACGCCAATTAATTCCCTCTTGGAATTTGCTGTGGAGGTTAAGATACTTCAGCAGTCTTTCTTCCTTCATTTCTTTGTTCCAAGGTTAATTAGATGAAGAATGTGCCTTGTGAACGCTGAAAAGCGGCAAATAAAGTTTTCTGTTCATTCATCATTCATTGTTCCAAGGTATATCATACTGCTGTACTTCAGGAGTTTTCTCCCTCGTGAAAGTTTTGTTATAGAATGCTCTGTAATATGAAAAATAAGAATTATTTCTCTCAACGATACATTTTTATTAAAGCTCATATTCTTTTGCTTGCTTAAATTGCATTACAGTACTTGATGTATGCATTACTCCAACAATGCTGGCACAGGATATATTTCTGTCTTTGTTTCTGACATGAAGGAGAATTTAGAATTTGAATAAAATTGTCAAATTTATTTGTATCAACAAGAATGCATTTTGTGATAATACCAGGGCTACATGTTTTGATTTAGTATAATTTTTCTCTTTTGTTTTGCTTTATTTTTTACATTGAATATTGGCCTGTGACAAATTCATGAATTAAATTTTGGGAACTGGTAAGTTTTAGTGCTCAAGAATATTAGCCATCAATGTACAGGTTTTCAAAAAATCTGTACATTAAAAACTACCCATTTGTCATTAGTGCTTTAGAAACCACAAATAATGTTTTTTCAAAGAGTTGCTGAAGCTATATGGAAAATGAAAAGTTCATTGCAAAAATGTATACTCAACATGCAACGTTTTGTCAAAATTTGAACAGACTTCAAAAAATGAAAGTTTCCTTCACATATTATAAGAATATGTTTAATATTTATGTTTATAAATATTAAATATTTATGAATATGTTTAATATTCATACCTGCTGCGGTCATCTCAGCAATGTCATCAAAAGGTGAGAGTTTGGAATCAAATATGTCAGCCCCAACTTCACCGTATTCAAAGTCTTCCAAGTCTAAACGGAAACCATTTCAATGATGAAATTATTCAGAATTAAATAAGGTGGTTAACTGCTGTACTATTTAATTCAATTACTGTCATAAATGGAGGGTTCTTCTGTTCCATTGGGCTTGAAATCGTCTTTCAAATCTGTGGACTTTTCCAATGCACTCAGCTCAGATGAGAATAATGAGTCTGCAAAGTTTCAAAGAAAGAAACTATAATATAGACATTTTTTGTTCATCAGCCGCAAAAAAAAAAAAAAAGAAGAGCTAATTCTTGGTCAATGCGACGATGCCCAGCTTTGATTTAGAAAATATTTCTTCAAACTTTTTCTTTTTTTTAGATTTTGAAGGCCCGTGGATCCAATTTCAGCTCAGGATATTTAAAATAAAATCATAATTTAATTTGACTGAAATCAAGTTTGATCCAGAGACTGCGTTCTCACAACAACAACAAAAAACATGCCACTCTTGAACAGTCAGCAAGTTGAAAACGGACGAAGTTATTCAGAAAACCAGAGGTAAATACATTATGTTTCAAAACATTTTTAAAATGTTCTAAAATCTAGATAGCTTAGTAAAAACATCAAATCATTGTAAAGTATAGTATTTCCAGTTAACTGATAATTTATTTTTACTCACATCTACAAGGTTCTTCAGCATATGTGTAATGGAACGACTCAGAGGACGTTGAAGAGATATTCGAAACTTCCAGAACCTCAGATTTTTCTGGGTTATTTGAATAAAACGTTTCTTCTCGCTCCTGGAATTCTCCTTCACTGGATTCGAATTGCTGATCCCAACTCTTTGCATCAGATTTTCTCCGCAAAAAAAGGTCTTGTTCTCCTCTCCTTTCGCTGATGATGAGCTCAATCATCTCTGCTGAGATTAAATGAAAAACTTGTGAGGTACAATATTTTATTCGAGGCAAGGATCCTTGATATTCCGTTAGGATTAATCAAGCATAAAAACAGCCGTAATATTCCTTCGTTTTAACATAAGAAATTCGCCTCTTTAAAAAAAACAGTCCAGAATTTCCATTTCTGAATAGCGTAAACCCCGAAAATATTCTTAGTAAACTGTATTCAACTAAATTCGGATTACCTTCATAATCCTCGGGATCTCTGAGCGAATTTGAGTCGGGTGTAATCGGATCAGGAAAACACTTGGTTCTCTGAACCACGACTGAAAATGTTACGTAACATCCGATGCCCCAAACAAGGACGAACCGCATTGTTGAAACAGACTGCAATTCAATTATTCCTGAAGGATTTTTAGAAATTATTTTCAGAAACTTACCTAAATGTTAATGCATAAATATCCAAGAACTGCTGATGATCCCGAAATTCGAAAAAGACTATACAGTAGTTGAGTTCTAAATTAGATGAAGAATGTTTTCGTCCTTTCAAGTCGGTGTGAAAACTGCTGGTGATTTGTTAAAAAAAAAAATTTATATTCCTTCAATGAGATGAATTACAGTACTGTATACGGTACATTAAATATGATTCCGATGAAGAACGATTTGGAGAGAAATATTTGGACGAAATGATCTGCTGGTGACATTCAAAAAGACGCCAGACGGCTCATTATTTCGAGGGTTAAAACAAAACTTCAAAAGGTATAGGTTCTTATTCGTTCTCAATTTTTTTTCTTACTTTATTTAACTCAATTCCTGAAATGCTCCAATAATTTCCAAGTCCCCCAATCGATTATGTCGGCGCGGAAGAAATTTTAGTACCATTTTGAAAATCGTTTTTCTGACGTCGGAATGTTTCACTGGAAAGATTTGAGTCGATTCCGGCAACGCCCTTTTGATATATTTCATTTTTGATTTTTTTTTATTCCTAAAGAGATTTTTCAGCGGAAAGCTGCTGTAGAGAGGTGAAAGAACATCCGGTTCACGACAACAATTTTTGAATACGCGGAATTGAATTTATTTTCTGGTACATTTCGGTTTTTAAAGCGACGTCTTGTTACAATCGTTGATATCTGGAGGCTTTTCAGAAGTTTATTTGAAATGTATATTAAAATGTACACCCTTCTCAATGCATTTTCGTCATATATTATCCTTCCAGCATAAAACGTATAAATGAACTTAAGTTTTTGAGACAAGGTCTAGTTTTGTGAAATACGTGACGAATCACATTTTTTCACTTCTGTGGTATGTAATAGCCTCTTTTAAAACGAAAAGAATACAGCATGCAGTACAGTACTGTATGTAAAGAAGTCTCGATAGAAAATTCGAGCAAGAAATTCGTCCTCTTCTGTACTTTTTTCTTTCCCCTTCTTCCCTTCTTAGTTTTTCTTTTTTGTTCTTCATTCTGAGTCAGAGTTTTTAATTTGAATTTCGACCATATCTAGTAGTAGAGCGTTCACAGTGCGGACGCTCTACTACTAATTGCACCCTAATTGAACTTGGGAATTCAAATTTTTTATATATTATATTTGAAAAAAGAATTGCTGTATCACATTATAGACATAACATTGCACTGTTTTTTTATGTTAGTGCCCCAATGTAGCAAAATATACATACATACATATGTACATAACATATGTACATAACATACATTTGAAATCATCATTACATACTGAGTGAAATTCTGGAAATTTGGAATTTTTTTGGCTGGAAGAACTTAAAAATTGATTTTTTTTTTTTGCTGAATTGAAAAATTGTGTGCAGCTGTATTTGAAATGACATGGGGTTTTCAATTTGATCAGTTAAAAATTGAGATCTAAAAAGGAACTTTTCCCATTTTTCACTCAATTTTTTGAAAAAGGTCTGCATTTTTTTATATCTCAGTCAATTTTTGGAATTTTTCAAAGTTGGAAATGGGGAAATGTGCAGAACTTCATTGCGCATCCACCCTATAAAAAAGGTAGAGTTTTGTTGAGCAGAAATCATATGGTGAATTTTTATATATCACTCAATTTTTTGAAAAAGGTCTGCATTTTTTTATATCTCAGTCAATTTTTGGAATTTTTCAAAGTTGGAAATGGGGAAATGTGCAGAACTTCATTGCGCATCCACCCTATAAAAAAGGTAGAGTATTGTTGAGCAGAAATCAAATCAATTTTTATATTGAGAAGGTTGGAAAACAAAAATTTTTTGGACTTTCAAGTTTAACTCATAATATTTTTGGAGAAATTTCAATTTTAAAATTTTTCTTGGATGCACAATCCATTTCTACAAATTTGGAATTTTTTTTGGCTGGAGGAAGTTCAAATCAAAATAGGAAACGTTTTCTAAAAAAAAAATGTGCCAAGGGGTGGGATTGAACCGGGTACCTCCGCAACCGTTTCACTGCACCCTAATTTTTTTCCATGCCAAGGAAAACCTGCTAAAAGTTGGTGCCACAGACACCTTACACAACCATAATAAAGTTCCCCCAGACCCCTGTAGGATCCTCAGTTAACACTGCAGATGTTAAAATATACTAATTCCAACTCACAAATATTGTGGTTGTTTCTTATGTGGTGGAGAAAATGCTCTTCAGAGAGGGGAAAACCCAATGAAGGTTTTTTCTCCCCCTCTCATAACTTTTAAATCTCACAAAATCAACCTAAAAAGTGAAAACAATGTCATTATTTTTTGCTCTTGCTTTCAATGACTCCAATTATTATTTTGTTATGAGCTGTTTGCTGAATTAGTGCACAAAATTAGGTATTTCAAAGTTGGAAATGGGGAAATGTGCAGAACTTCATTGCGCATCCACCCTATGAAAAAGGTAGAGTTTTGTTGAGCAGAAATCATATGGTGAATTTTTATATTGAGAAGGTTGGAAAACAAAAAATTTTTGGACTTTCAAGTTTAATAAACTCATAATATTTTTGGAGCAATTTCAATTTTAAAATTTTTCTTGGATGCACAATGCATTTCTACAAATTTGGAATTTTTTTGGCTGGAGGAAGTTCAAATCAAAATAGGAAACGTTTTCTAAAAAAAATGTGCCAATGGGTGGGATTGAACCGAGTACCTCCACAACCATTTCACTGCACCCTAATTTTTTTTCCATGCCAAGGAAAACCTGCTAAAAGTTGGTGCCACAGAAACATGTTACACAATGTCCTTATTAAAGTTCCCCCAGACCCCTATAGGATCCTCAGTCAACACTGCGGACGTTAATGGTACACTATATCTTCAGAGGTACAGTAGCTTTTTTATTTTGAATTTTTACTTTGCTTTAATCTGTTCCATGAGCATTCAAACCAATCCAGTTCGTCTTAAACCTGGAAGGATCTTAAATATTATTTTCTATTGTATGTACAGTATTTTACCTTATATTCCCTATATTTCCAGGTGTTTAATCCATTTATTTATATGAAAGCCGGTCAGTTTTCAGCCTTCTCCTCGCCAAGTGTGCAGCAGTTTGTTAGAAACCATATCTTTCCCCCACTATATAGGATTGTGCTCTTTTGGAAATTGCCACACTTGAGACTCAAGTTTGCGAAAGTGTTGCTTTGCGGCTCTTGCTAAATAATTTAAAGGTACACGCGGAAGTAGGACAACGCTCGCACAAACACTCTTAACCTCCACGCGTCAACATTTTTATAAAATGTTTCTTCAATACGCTTGTTCGTATCAGCGGTTCAGCGCCAATTTAAGTTTAAACAGTAACATTATATAGGCTTCATCACAAAGATCATTGAATGGACTCGTATTTAATAATTTTTTTCAAGGCAATTGCCTCAATTTTTCACGAGAAATCGGTAAATTTAACTTGGTCTAATGCTTCTTTTTTTACTTATTCACTCGGTATTTTTATCATATCACGCGTCTTTCGAAAAAGGTATGCTAAAAAAAAAGAGTATGCTCATGTAAATAGGGTGTTTAATGTAGTAGGTAAACTGTCCTCTTTTTTATTATGACAGTTGAAGAGAAATACAGTAATTTTTTTTCTATTTGATTTATAATCCAGCACTCATCCCCAAGATATACCGTATTTACTCAAGTACCACACGCACCTTTTTTCCCAAATTTCAGAAGAAAAAAAGGGGTGCGCGTCATAAGCGGGTACAAAATTTTCAAGATGTTTTTGGAAGTTATGTTTGCATTATACCTAATTATCATGGAGAAATTTGGAACAAATATAACAAGAAAACATTTTTCTACTGAAAAAGTTGAAAATTCATCAGATTTTTGTTCAATTCACACCTAAAGTCAAATTTTTTGTTTTTATTTTTGAAATTTTATAGTTTTAGATTCACTAAAAACTGGGGTGCGCGTCTTACTCAGGATACGATTTTTGCAAAATTTTCAACTGAAAAACCCCTGTGTGCGCCTTACTCAAGGGCGCATGCTACTCGAGTAAATACGGTACATAAGCTATAGTCATTGACAAGGTTGGGGGACTGTTGCAGTCACTATAAAAACTTGATGAAGAGGAAACCTTTCATTAGATGTATGCAACAATAGGCGGAGAAAATTTTGGAATCATAGGTTGAACCTGATCCTACGCAACGCCAGTCTCAGAACAGGAGTCAAGGTCGAACAACAAGCCTCGTTTCTTTCAGATTTAAGATACCACTATTCAATGGTTGTATAGAACCGCCTGTAATATGCTGATGCGAGTGAAGAATCTTTCAGAAAGTATAGGAGCACAGCTCAGACTCCTTGATTAAAAATATTGCACAGGTATTCGTAAATTTGGACCAGAGTATGCATCATATACGATCACTCAAAAAAATTTTGCACCCTTTTCGAAGGAAATATAAAACGTAAAAACTAGGGTGAGTCAGTGCATTTGAGATTCTCAAATGCACATGAATAACTAATAAAAATGCTATTAAAGCTTTTCCCTGAAACTACAGTACTGTACTTCTGTACAGCATGCACTGAATCACAGCGCAGTCTATATTTTCGCGTTAAGAAATATACATACTGTATATATTATTTACAGGAACTCAGACAGGAACTGGACGAAAATTTGACATATATTGTATATACGTTATATTTGGAGATATTCAACTTGAGGTGCAGTAATGTATTCTTGTTGTTCAACTGCTATACTGTACGATATTGTACTCGCAGTGAATAGATGGACTGCATCTATGCAACAATTTTCTCAGTGTAACAGATGTTTTGGACCTAATTAGGGTTCTTTGCCCATCTTACAGGGATCCTCTGCAACGGAATTATTTCTACAAAAATGTTTTTCCTGGTCTCTTGAATTAAATTTTTTGGACAAGTCTTAATAATGAATACACATACGCGTTAGCTCGCATTTTAATTTAGTTTGGCTTAATTTAATCAAAGGCATTGTAGAAAAATAACGTTAAAAAAGTATTGCATTCCGTGTGCGTAGAACTTTTTAATGGCCCTGGTATATTACTGTATACGCATGAACCCCGCGGCAGCATGCTTATCAATAATATCCAGCTCATTATTATATTGTTGCGTTGCCGGGTAAAATGCTTCTGCTGAGCAAGTCGCACTCTGCTCCCATCCGACTCCGTTTTCGCGTCCTCATCCTCGTGATCAGTTAGCTTCTTACTTGTGTACAGTGGGCCCCCATCTTACGTCATCAATCCGTTCCAGGATGGATGTCATAACATGGGACCGTCGTAAGTTGAAACCCTATTTCCCTTAAGGTTACATTATGAAAAAATTAATTCGTTCCAGAAAAATCCAGCTCATTATTATATTGTTGCGTTGCCGGGTAAAATGCTTCTGCTGAGCAAGTCGCACTCTGCTCCCATCCGACTCCGTTTTCGCGTCCTCATCCTCGTGATCAGTTAGCTTCTTACTTGTGTATATGTAAGGGTTTCCTGTTCCTGCAGTGATTTTGTCGGGCGATCTTCGAAAAAAAGTTGGATGATGTACTCTGAAAATCTGCATGTTTAAAGTGCTGTATTTATAAACATTTGCTGCTGGTGGTGAACCATTATAACTCATTTATAAATGCGAATGCTGTAGTGTTGAACCTCGCGAAAGAAGATTAAGCTGATGTGAGAAGATTGATGAGATTAAGCTATATATAAATTAAACTTACTTATTGCTCTTTCGAGGCTTTTCATTATGCGGGTTGTATGCATGATGACCATGCGTATATATAAGACCGGCAGAACACGCGAGTTTTAGATTCATATTTAATCTAAAGAGCAAGTTTCCATTGCATGAAGGGCTTGAGTGTGAAGAGATTCCAATAATGAAGGATACCTCGTGATTATAGGTAACTTCGAATGACTCACCAATTGTGAACCGAGCAAAAATTTGCCGTTCTCCGATGCTGTATAATATGTTACAGAGACGCATGCTATTATTCTGCTTCGACGTATTTGTCTCTATGGACTTCTTTCATATAGTATGACAATAAGACGATAAGGAAGAATTTTGGTGACATATACGTCCGCTCAGCTTTGATTTTCCGCAAAATTGTCACGAACGAATAAAACAATGAACGTAGAAATGTCCTTGTTTGGTACACTTACAATTCTACAGTATATGTATCTCAAAGTAATTTAAATGCTCAGGCGAAGGATTCGTGGACTGAACTTCAGCAACTCGGGCTGTGATTGGCAGCGGTTCTTCTTTTTTTAATATTAAAGGAAAAAGTAAACCGGAAGCTGTATATTGCTCTCAGAAAGGTCACGAAAGAAATTCTATTTTCGAATTTAATGTATGCGAATATTCTAAGGTTTCATCCTCAGATCTTGCCTTTAGTGACGTCATTCTGTTGTCATCCATTTGGCGTGGACTTCATAAATTTTCTTTATATACTGTACAGGCATTTAATGTGTGTATGGATGTGACGGTTATGATAATCTGGGAATAAGGTTTCGGCCACATTTTTCTTTTCCCAGTCCGCAGCGTAAATTAAAAGCAGATTTATTTAATATACACTGGGATAAATGTGAGTATAGGAGTAACTTGAATATTCATGAAAAAAAAATGAAAAAGTGATACCTTCAAAAAATGCTGCTGATGATGGGCAGCAGCTACAATGTCATTAATAATGATCATCCATAAATCATAACATGGTCTGTGATCCAATTGTTTCTGGTACACAGTATGGTCCATACAGGTGGGTTCTCAATCATGAAATTCAGTGTATACTGTATATACAAAGATATTTTCCCCCATATACAGTATACTTTTATATAGTAGAGTGAATTTTGTTGTAAAGAACCCCTATAATATGGGGAGAGAATCCTATACAGTATATAGGACCCAAAACCCCCATTTTACAGAGGAAATTGTTCTGGACATGCAAGATCTTTGTAGAGAAGGTCAATCTGCATTTACATTTAGTATATATGCTGCATATACTGTATGTATGCAAAGGAAGCATCAGTGACAGTGCAAGTATCCATTGTGCAAAAACTCCGCTATGCGAATCGTATCTTAACTGCTGGGGGTGTCCGTGTATTTTCTGAGCTGATCAATGTAAAAAAAAATATGACTGCTCCTTCTGAATTTGAACAATTCACTTGCTTTTATTTTCCTCATTCAAAGAATCAAAAGATCAATATTTTGTCACATATTCTGTGTGATATTCTGCATCTGATTCTTTTGTGGTTTGCGTACTTCTGACTAACTAATCTTATTCGTCTTGCTTTGAATCTCAGCAGAAAAAGAATACGTAACAATAAATAAGGTCACGCGTACGTCGGCGTTATATACAACACATACATAGTTTCAATAATGCCGACCGATACTGGAACCAGCATTCGCAGTAATGGAGAACACTATGGATGCCAAAGTGACACATCCGGAGTTACTTCCGGCCAAGAATTATTTGAATCGCCGCCGTCAGTGATCACAGATTATTCGCGCTTCATCTCACAAACGTCATCATTTCGGAACTTCAGCTTTCCTCGTGTCCTCAGTGAGTACAACAATACTTTGCTCATGCTTGACTATATTCACGTCGTGGTTTCCTATAAAACGTTGGGAAGCCTATAATACTGGAAATTGTTGTGTATGTGTGATCACATATACAGGCCTATGCACTCAACATACAGTAGAATAAATGCAGCAGTACAGTACAGTAAATTACAGCATAGACTCATATTTGCACTGAACTTGAATTTCATGCATGGTAAAGTGATTCCTCAACGTTTAAAATCCATGCAGCGTACTTTCATCAAACAAAAGAAGTACAACAAAATGCAAGACACAATTGCTTATTCTGGCAACCGGCTGATTTTTTTTTTTCAGAAAAATTGCCATGTAAAATTATTTTATGTTGTTTCAGTTAGATTGGAAGGTTTTCCCTGTTAAACACACAACGATATTCTTTTTGGCCAATAACAGCTCAGGAAAATATTTGGGTGCTGACCAATGAATTCAATTTTGATTTGATACAGCAAATCTTGATACAAGTATACTGTATGAATAATTTGTCTTCGGAATGAATTAATTTCCGCTTTTTGTGCAATATAAAGCCATAAGGTTATCCAAATTTTGACAAAACAAAATTTGTTTCAATGCCCCAAATGACTTCAGTGTAACTATTATGTTCGTACTGCATTAAAAGGCTGATGAGTTCAGAATTTATCGTTCATTCTCGTCCTTGACCTATTTATAGAAAACCTTTCACCTGAAACTACGGGCTAAAGGATTTTTAGTCAGTTCGAAGTAAAATAGCAACCAGGATTCGTAGAGAGGCAATAAGCTTTTATTGACAGCGCACAACAACAACCAGTCGCGAGTGCTCGGGCACGAATGCTGACGAAGGCAGAGAAGCACACACAGTTAAAGGATCGCGGTGGTCAGCTTTTCCTGTCCACACATATACACACACGTAATTCCCGCAGGAGGACAGCAATGCCCTCCTATGCTGATCTCGTGACTATGCACAGTTTGTGGAAGCCCTTTTTAGAAAGGAAACGAGTGAGAGAGAAAGAAACATACCAGAAATACCGGGGAGCCTGCATATGCAGCTCTACCCATAAAAATATTTGGGATCACAGTTTCAATGCCCCAAATGACTTCAGTGTAACTATTATGTTCGTACTGCATTAAAAGGCTGATGAGTTCAGAATTTATCGTTCATTCTCGTCCTTGACCTATTTATAGAAAACCTTTCACCTGAAACTAGTTGCCGAAGGATGAATTTCTTTCGCGGAAGGAGAAAATTCTATTCCGTCCTCTTCTAATAAGGAAGGAAACCGGCTTTGTTTTACAGTGAAATGCTTGGAGACTTTACCGAAAGATGGAGTGTTTTTCGCTGGAGGATTGCCAAACGCCTCCTTATTCCCAATTTCGAACGTGACGATAGAACTCACAGACGGAACTAAGATTGATTTCGGAAATGCTCTGACCTCGACTGCTCTGCAATACGGAACCACGAACGGGTAAAATCAGCGGGATTAAAGCCACAATTACTGATTAAAAAACACAATACAGTACATTATAAGATGTGACCTATATACTGTATGTAAATTGACTGGCCTGTGAGTTAACATGCAAATTATACAATGCAATTAATTCACGTACCGCGACCAAAGCGCTGTACAGTATACGGCGACATACAGCAGTGACTTGATTTCGCCATTGGATGACGTAACGAAATTAATACAATGGATTGTATACGCAATGGTTTATTTTTCAACATTTTTAACGATTGACTAATATTCGCTAAAAGCAAGAAATGTCGCCTCCTTTTCGGTCTGTAAATCAACTTCAAATGCCACTAATAAACTAGCTTTGTATGAGGTGCTCGAGCGTAGGTCTTTATATACAGAATACTGTATTGAGTCTTCAATATTTTCCTTTCATCTCGCATATATCTTCCCAAGACAATAATAATTCATTTTTAACAGCGGAAAATTTAATACGTGATATCATTCATTTCCATCCGAGGATAAAAATATAAAAGAATAACATTGAAACTCGTGTTACCTCTATATTGTGAATTATATTAAAATAATTTTGGAAATCACAATATTTTTCCAGAGCATTGAATTTCATCGATTAAATCGTCCCTTTTACGGCTTACTCGCGGAAATGTTCGACTGATATCGACTTATATAAGCTTTCACGGTAAAATCTCAATTTCAGCTATCCGCCATTGCTTCAAAAACTGAATGAATACCTCAGAAGGTATCACGGAATAGACGAAGAAAAGATGAGAACAAGAGAGATGTTCGTAGTTCCAGGAGCTCAAGACGGATTATCCAAAGCTGCGGAGTGCATTTTGAATGAAGGCGACTACGTCATTCTAGAGAAATTCATGTATCCCGGCACTACAGGGGCCGTACGTCGAAATTTCGCAGCAATTCTTCAAAATGATTCGAAATGCTCATCATAGAGGGTTTTTAAATTGAATTATACCGTAATTCCTTCCACAGCTCGCAGCTATGAATCCAAAGCACTTGACAGTGGAAAGCGATGGTGACGGAATGATTCCTGAGTCATTGCTGCAAGTTTTATCCCCATGGGATGGCGAGAATGCCAGGCCGTCGGATACAGCACCAAAAGTACTGTAATTCATCAATAGTTTACTGAAATGTTGCAAGGAAGCACTTTTTTAAATACTGGTCACAATCAAATGTGTAAAAAAAAGTTTACCCAGGATTACATTTTTGATTTTCAGAAAATATCGCGTCTCATGTGCGGGATATATTTTTGGGCACATTTCAGGCCCAAAAAAAAAAACCAAGGGTGCGTGCCACACTCGAGAAGGGATTTTAATCGAGTATACACGGTATCAAGCAGTTTCTTTCCAGGATTCCAGATCAAAAAGAACAACAGAACACGAATTTCTACACATTTTTTAATAGAGAGATCGTAAATTAGCGTATGGTGGACCTTTCTGCACAACTTCAATTTTCTTAGCATGATCAAAGAAATAAAACCATGCATAAAGAATTAAATTTCGTGAAATCCCTGATTTACAGGACGTAACTGAATCCATCAATCTGAGTAAACTCTAGTCAAAAGGTTACTTTTATTTTAGAGCATTCATCCTATGTGAGGTTTCAAGTTTTTGACCTTATTTTACTCGCGAAAACAGAATTTTAAAGATCATCCCACTTTTAAATCAAATAAAGCTTTTACATGTTCATCTATACGTTCAGAAAATTTCTTAGCGTGAGAGCTTTTGTCAAATACTCATTATTCTGGGCAAACTCCAAAATGCTCATGTCCTCGTCGCAACATTTAAGCCGTTGCTAATCTGGAATAGGCACCAGTAACTATAAATGGCATAAAATGCATCTATCAAATTCCGAAGAAGCTGATTTTTCAATGTTGACGTAATTTTTTTCGAAAGCTGCTGGTTGTGTGTCCAAGCGGAGGCAACCCAACAGGATCTTGCTTGACTGAAGAGAGAAGACGAAAAATCTACCACATCGCGAGAAGGTTCAACTTCCTAATCTTGGAAGACGATCCATATTATTTTGTACAATTTCAAAAGGTGTGAGCCATTTCCTTGAAGAACGTCTTAGATTCATCTTCCAAATCACGGGGTAATGAACATTTCCATTAGGATAGATTTCCAAGTTTCTTGTCCATGGATGTTGACAACCGCGTGATCAGGCTGGATAGTTTCAGCAAGATCGTTTCTGCGGGCATGAGACTGGGCTGCATCATTGGACCACAGGCGTTGATGGAAAGAGTTCTGATGCACGAACAAGTGAGTCAATCGGAAACCTCCATACATATAAATCGATTCAGACTCGGAGAATGGGTTTCAGGTTACTATCATGCACACACCAGGTCTAACACAAATAATGCTGCACAAGATTTTGGAATCTTGGGGTTGGGAGAAGTTTGAGGAACACGTGAGAAACGTGACTGAGTTTTACAAGTCAAGGAGGGATATCATGCTGAAGCTGTGCAATGAGCATCTTTCAGGTGGGCTACAATCTTACCCTCGAGTTGAAATACTTCTTTTCGTAATAGACGATCGCATTCGCCTCCAAAAGATTTGGCACATTGGCATGAGCCCCGCGGAGGGATGTTCATGTGGCTGAAGTTGAAAGGGATCAAAGATACGCTGAAATTCTGCATGGGTCCTTGCATGGAAACGGGAATTGTTACTCTGCCAGGATCCGCGTGTTCCGTGGCACCTCAAGAGCCCAGCAGCTTCATCCGGCTCTCGTATTCTTTGGTACCTGTGGAGACAATGGAGAAGGTAAAAATCAGCTCTTAACTAAGGCCTAGTTTTTTCGAATAGTCTCAGCTTGAATTCACCCACAAAGAAAAGATGTGGTTTCTTCGGATGCATTCTCACATTCAGTTGAGGTATCGGGAACTTTTTACAAAGCAACACCGAAATGGCTTTGAAAAAGTTCTCTAGCACTGGTCTGGACATTCAAGGCTATATTCGTGTGCTTTTCATAAAATTTCCTAACCTTAATGAATGTATTCATGTTGATGGGAGGGTAAAAACTAGACTTTTCTCTTCCAGCTGCTCATTATTAACAGCGATAATTTTAGTTCTAAAATAATGCAGTACAGTACTTTCAAGTCACTCGTAAAAGTTGATTGACGGTGTTTTTCTCTCGTCGAAACGCCGTCTTCGTTGGAAACTTCTTGACCATTTCAAAGCGCATCGAAAATGGATGTAAAAAAAAAAAAGGTATTCAGTATTAACAGATTTCAAGAAGGCGAAGGCGTGATCAATTGAGACGAAAGGTTGTGCATTTCCGTATCGTCGGATGGAGAGCTTCGGCCCTTTTTTTTTTTTTTTTTTTTTTTTTTTTTTGTTTTTTTTTTTTTTTTTTTTTTTTTTTTTTATTTGTTCTTTTTTTTTTTTTTTTTTTTTTTTTCAAGTCCGGTTTTCCTTCAAGTATGTATTTTTTTTTATATTTTTCATTGCATCTCTGAGAGATGATGAAAATTTTCCGCAGTCATATTCGTCACTGCTTTTTTGAGATCGTTACAGATATCCTTATTTTTTTTTGCAGGGAATCAAGCGACTTAGAGAGGCAATACTGAAAGAGCAAGCCAGAACGGCCAGACATTGAAGAGATGAAGCAAAAGAATGATGCGTACACACAAAACAACGCTTGAATCATTTAAAAAGGTGTAACCTGAAGTTCGCGGTCGAGAGGAATAAATACGGGATAAAAAAGTTCCCGAACATGAATCTTGATAATTCAAGAATACATCACCTTCCGAAGCTATCACTGAAAACTTTAGAGTACTCGTACCTATAATGAAATAAAATCAACAAATGAATACCTGATGAAACGTCGGACTTGGGAATCCGTCGAGTTCGCTTGATTCTCCAGCGTAACACTTTCGTGACGGAAGCATTGAATTACAGTACAGTACTGTATTGAAAATCATCATACGCACACGTCGTGATTGATGTGTTCCAAAGCCAACCCCGAGGTTCTTTCTAAGATCACCGAGATGGTAAATGAGCCAAGAATACGAATTTAAACGGCTTCTTTCCTCCGCTCAATTATTCACAAACCGCGTGTCCAGAGGGTGTCCGAAAAGCTACCGTGATGTAAGAACTTCATTTTTGGCACTGAATCTCATGACTTGACGCCCTCAGAATAAAGCTTTGATATTGCTGGTACTGTGCATCAAATTCTACCATACAAGCTACTTGAAATTCTACTTCCAGCATGCAGGCATGCTTGAAGCAGAAAAAATTTTGATTGACTTCATCATCTCGGAAAACATTTCCTCATACCAAATTAATCCTCCTGCGCTGAAAGGGTGAATTCAAAAAGAGATTTAACTTGGGACAACCTGCGAAAAATTATAATGCTGTCGTGACATTGGCCCACAAAAATTCAATTAAGCAGGCCAAGTTTTAAAATCTATCTTGCGTATTGAAAATTTCTCAATGCCCGGTAACTTTTGGACACCCATTATTATTCGGAACTATCACGAGGTTCCAAAGTATTTCGAAGACATACAATGCATTATACAGTACTTTGATCATGACCAGTGACACTCTGAAGATTATTCATTGAGGAAAATACTGATGGAACTTTCGCAAATAGGGCGTAACCGACGGGTATAAAAATTGTATTTCAAGAACAAAAACATAATGAGCACTGAAAAAAAAATCCAAAATTCCATTGTAAACACGGGCCTGAAATTTTCCAAGCGAAACAACATCCTCTATAGCCTTAATTTCAGGCTCGAAACAAAAATTTGAACTTGAATGGAAAATGAACGAATCAAAAATGTAAAAAAATAATTTTTAAATAATCAAGTATTTTCTAATTTCACCTCCACTTTGACCAGTCTGCTTTTGGATTCTACTTTCTCATGCACCAAAGTTTCCAAACGAAGGGTTTCAAAGAATGCCATGTCATTCGCCAACACATCGTCTTCTAACCCGAGAATAACACATGGCTCTTTCACTATCGTGTGCTTCTTCTTCGGGATTCTTCCCGGTCTCGTTTTCTTTGGTTCTTTCCCTATTAGAGGCTCCTGGACAGCGCGGCTAAGCGTAGCATCCACTTCGAATTTCTCGTCCAGTTTTCGAAGATCGTCCAGGAGATTGTCTCGTAATCGCTCCTTGAGAAGCCACTTCCTTTCCTAAAATCACACAAATTTCTGTCACATCTTCTGTACAAGACTTCGAAAAATTGTAATGCGAAGGCGTACGACCGGATCACGGCAGCTCTTTCAACGCACAAAAATGCGGTGAACTGACTAGTCACCTGAGCAGTTTGATGGCATTGCATTTTCATGGACGCATTAATATCTTTTGTACTTTCATTCCTCATTTTGAAAAGGTTGGAGGCTTGTGCATTTTTTTCGACCTCAGCTCTTCGTAACTCTTCCACACGCTCCAACAGATCAGGTGAGTTCCCGGATTTGGCTGATTTCAGCTTCTCTTCGTACTTTTTTAAACGGTTGCCGTACAGTCTGCGTTGAAAAAATTCAGTCAAGTAAATTAACGATTGAGTTATGCTTCGAATTCCACAAAGAATCTCACAAATCTTTCCACTCGTTGAATCTTGTCTCCAAGAAGTTCATCGCTGCTTGACACTCCGCTCTTCGTTCGATGTAAGTGTCGATCTCCAGCTGACCTGAGAACAGTTTTTGGTATTTGAGCATTATTCAAACGAAGCACAACATTAGAAGGAAACAGAACAACCAAATTGCAATCAACATTTACTGTACATGTACTGTGTTTTTACTTATGCATCAATTTTCGATCTCAAGTTTCGTGACAGAGAACATGACACTTTTCTTCAACAGACACCACACCAAATCTGACTCAATACGACAAAAATATGACGAATGTCGGAACAATAAAAATATAGATTTTCAGTATTTACCCATTTCGCAATCCATGTCATCATCGTCATTTTCAGAGTCTTCTTCCGCAGCAGCCGCAACTCCGGATAGGGAGACTGCTTCCGAAGATTCGCTCTCTTCTTTCTGACAAGCACCTAGTGCTGATTTCGTGGGCGGCATGATTGCACGAAATTCGCGATTCACTCCCGTAGCTTCACAGCCATTATCAATTGTCAGTTCTGTAGAATATGAAGCATACATTCATCCATCTTCGAAGCAGGCATCCAAAATCGAAAGAATCAGAGGAGACTTTTTGATTAATACACAAAATACATAACCTGCCATAACTTTCCACAAATCCAAATAGAAAAAGAGATCCAGTCACAAAAAGAAACCCTTGGCCACAGTTTGAGATAAAAAAAATACCCTCAATTATTGTTCAAGCTGATTTTCTCCGCAGGGAGTGGGGGTGGGCAAATACAAAAAGCACCTTACAAGAGCCAAATACAGGAACAGTTACAGGGGGATGATATTGGAACAAAGATCATCCGTAGAAATTCACAAAAGCCCCAACATCCGCTTTCAACAGCGCCGGGTTCAAAACAAGCAGCAGGTCAGTTGTCAGAACCAGAGACGTTCCAGTCTTCAAGGAAGCAAGTTTTCCTTTCGTAGTTTGTCTCCGAACCAGAATCACTGCTTGAGTCTTCTTCCAACGCACCTGAAACGATGAATATCAAATATGTACCGTCTCCCACGAGCTTTCCACATCATCGGACCATGAGAATATTTCGGTACTCAAAGATTTTCAAGATGCCCAACAAGCGCATAAAAATGGCAAAAGTACTTTAAAAATTACCTTCTTGCGGAAGTTTTGCTACAAACATTGCAGGTCCGTCATAAGTAAAAGTCACCAATTTTTATGCTTCACCAATTTCTTGAAATATATGTTGATAGAATAACTTTTCAGCCTTTTCAGCTGCTGCTCACGCAAAATAGTGAGTGAAAGATTGTTATTTCATAACCCTGAGTAATTTTTCCAGAGTTCTCCCTTCTCTTTCCCAATTTTTGAAAAACTTCATTCTCCCATCCTTTCAATAAGCGTTAGTTATATTATCAGTTTTGTTATCTTTCTTTTGAAATCAAAGTTTGAAATTAGGACAAAAACAGAAAAAATTGAGCCAATCCTTCAAAGTAAAGGGCATTGAGGAAAATGCTTCGCATTTATTTTTGATGACAGCTCTTTTTTGTGAGATGTCCAGGGGCTTTCGGAAATGTCCTCGAATTCCTTGGTTTATCTCTTGAATGAGATATATTCTATCTTCGCACAGATCTGCACATAAACAATAAATTTGATTCGCACGGAGAATGCAAAAGTACAGAGGTAGAAATTTCATCATCGGTAAGTACTGTACTTTGAAGGAAGTCCATGCAAAAAGCAACGTAACAAATGATGAATTTCAAGAGCTTCTCAAGCAATGGATAAACGAAAAAAAATTTTACCATCCTGATGCGCCCGTTTTTTATTCGGTGCCGATACATTATCGCTGTCTTCCGCATTCGACTCCTCTCCATTACTGACATTCGCTGTTAGCACACTGGACAGGTCCAACATCGGTTGCAAAATCCGTCTTCGTGCATTGATGAACCAATTGTTTACTTGCAATAAAGTCAAGTTCGTTTCAGACGCTAGAATCTTCTTTTCCTCCTCAGTGGGATATGGATGCTGATAAAAGAAGAGGCGAAGGCGTGGTTTCCGGTGAACACGACATTTTGAAAATAAAATTGGAAATTTTCATGCATTGTAATCCAAATACGTACTACAATGTGATCGAACAACCATTTCTTCAGGGTGATGACAGCGCCTCTGGGCAAGCCATACTTCTTCAACGAAGCAGTCTTGGCATCTCTACGAGATTTGTTCTCCCGGTTTTTGCTCTTCGCAGATTTGTCTGAAAATAAAAATTTAATAAGCACAACTCTTTGCGACTCACCTCAACAGCATTTTAGTGAACTTCTCGAAATGATCTGGAAGTCTCACCAGTTTTTCCCAATTCGTGAACGTTGAAATCTAATTCAAGGTTCTCGACTTTTCCCTCGAAACAATTTTCATCCTGGTATAACAGCTCGTCATTATTGTCTTGAACGAAAGATTTGGCACCGTTTAAGTTCTGTAGTTTTGTAACAAGCGTTTTTTTCTTGTTCTGAACCATCGACTGCGGTAACATCTCACTGCCGTTCGCAAAATTTGCACCGTCATTGGCTCCAAGACTGGAAGAATCTGAATCGTAGTCGCATTCAGTTTTCACCAGATTCCCACAACGCAGTTTCGCTGAAAAGAAATACATATGCAAAACTGCTTCTTCAAAATGTGATTTTTGAAATACCAACCTTTAAGAGTTGTGACGTAACGATCGCAGAAATGAGAGCACAGCTCTTGAACTTTCTCAAGCTCTAACAGCTGTATTTTGAGAACTTGTAAGGCTTGAATCATCTGTTGAAAGTTCATTACAATAACAGCAATGAATACACATTCTATTCCGGATCAAATTCCAGAAAAGATTAGATTTCTATTGCGAGAACGAGGAGGAAGACTTGCCAGGTCATCCACTTCTTTGTGTTTCGTGATAAAAAATTCTGGATCTTGCGCAAAATGGTGTTCCACGAAAGTCCGAACTTCCAAGGGCCAATCCGGAGAAGTTCGTCGATTTTTGAACTGAGAGGCCATTTCACACTTCTCAAATATGAGGCACAACAATGGAAACAGGGGATGTCTGCAATACAATTTTACGGTTGTTTTACCTTACCTTTAAAAAAATTTAATGCACAAAATCATACTTGTAAACTGCCTGCTTGTCGACTTCCAATGCTGATGTTAGGCCCGAAGAGTTTTGTCCTTGTGGGGTAACATTCTCAAAATTCACGAAGGGCTCCAAAAATTTTTCCGCGCCATCCGAGGAATAATACGGAAGCTGCAGGTTGTCTTCCATATTTCAAATCGCGATTCAACCATTAATGGAGTTTCTGTGGGTGAGCGAAACGTCATCCGTGATAGTAGAAGAAGCACAGAAAAAACCATGAATAAAAACTGCAACACGACGAAAACACACAATGCAATGATATTCCACATTTTCTGAATCAAAGCCGCGGATACAAAAAAGCAACTAATCTGTAAGCTATTGCAACGCTATCCTTGAAAAAAAAGCAACGTCCACAGAGCTTGCAATTCCATCCCAACCAACGAAAAAATTACTTCAATGACGGTTCTGTGATTAGCAAATACGTCTGAGATCAACTCAATCCGGAGACTTCTCTATCATCTTGAGAGCGCTTGCTGTTGAGCTCCCCGATGGCCATCAAGAAATACAGACAAATCCCAAAGTTTCACAATTCTATCCTGCCCTAAGGTTAAAATTCGCCTTCGAGCCAAATCAACATCGATAGCCAGCACATGTTGCTTGCTGTCGAAAAATCTCGTCATCGGTCCAGAGCGCCTACAAAATAAAAAAATAATATCACGGGTCAAAATGTACCTCGTTCCTTGATGTCTATGACTGACATTACTGTATATAATTAAATAAAAATCTGGCGATCAGAAAAATAAAAAAGGTTTAAAAAATAATCACCACATCATCCCCGGGTATCCGAATAAGGAAAAAATTCAGATGGCGTTTCAATCCTTTTTGAATTTTTATATTTGGCCTGACTCCGTGATTTTCTTCCTTCATAATACGGTACCGTATATGGGTCGCCAAAACTGATACTGTACGTTTTAGTTTCCCACGGGTCAGGTTTCTTAACGTCAGGCTATACTGTACTAAATTACTGTAGTTCATTTAGGTCAAGTTCAGCTATGTTGCGTCAGCATTTGGAACTGTTCGTGATTCAGCCAACACCACTATGACATTTCAGAAAGCGAATTTGAGCGCTTAAGAACAATTCTTTCGTGTATAAAACTTGCGACACATCGGTATCCTACTCCTTACTCACCGAATCGAAGTGCATGCAAGTTCCAGAAGATTTATAATTCAATTGAAATCTTCCCAATAAAATTAGTATCGCAGAATTTGATCCCAAAAAAATTGAAAAATAATCCACAAATGGCCCGACTGCTTGGTAAAATTGCATTTGAATGCATAACGCTTAGAATAATTGCTCACGATAATACAGTATGCGGACGAAAGAATCCGGCGCAAACAAGAAGAAACACATCCCGAGTCATTTTAGAATCAAAGAGGTGGAAGCCAACAAAGGAGTACTCACGTTGATTCAGGTGGGTCACTCTCCCAACAAGCACTGCACACCCTGACCGGAAACTCGAATCCCAATTTCGGTCGCGGTGCCAGGTTCGGCGAACACTCACTACAAATAGCACGTCCACATGCTCTGCAATGATGCTGTCGTCGAAGCGCAAGATCCCCGCCACTGACCAAAGCAGTCACGTTCCAAAAGAAAGCTTTGCCACATAACTCGCAGTTGTTCGATTCTCGCCATTCCGGCGTCTCCGAGCGTTTCGTGTCAGCGTCCCACACGGCTACCATGGCGTCATCGCCAGAGGAAAGCAGGAGAGCAGGAGTAGTAGGAACGAAGTAGACGCTCATAACTCGCTGTCTGCAATTTCGCCAGAGCGATATTCTCAATTTCTGATCACAGGTAAATATTGAACAAGAGGAGTGATTAAAAAAAAGAACACAGCAGTCGCGCAAAAATAAGCTGTGGAATCTCAAAAATTGATAAGAGCAGGAATTTTATTTGATCACACCACGTTTAAAGTTCACCTGTGCCCATGCAGTTCAAAAGCGGTTCCTTTCTGTCCTCCGATGTCCCATATGATGACGCTTTGATCCGCGCTTCCCGAGTAAAGATACTTTTTCTCCGGGTCCCAAGCTAATGACTGCACGCACCCAGTGTGTCCCCGGATTATAGTGACCAGAATGACTCCTTTCGCCGAATTCCCACTTGAATCCAGATCACACTTGACGACATGAATTGCACCTGAGAAGTCTCCAACGAATGCATAGCAAGACCTATCGTCATAAGCCAGAGAGGTGCACGTGCCGTTACACTGATATCCACCCAAACGGCGCCCCGTTTCAGAGCAATGCACCTGAAAAAAAAAAAAAACATTTTTTCGTACTCAGACGAAACATTACACACTAAGATCAATGATGTTGATCCAATCCGAAAGTAAGCAAAAAACATGGGATTAATGCTAACTTGACATTTCCTCTTCTCAAAATAGCGCTGATGCACTAAAAATTCAAGATAATTGTCCCCAAGGCAAACTTTTAAGCTCAATTAAAGATTCCATCATAAAAATACACTATCGATATCTGAAATGCTTTTAGAGTAAAAAAAATCCAAATGGGCCAATCTCCCAATTTGCCCTCAAAACTTTTGCAAGCTGTTCAGGGGGCTCCACTATCCTGTGCTCTACAGTACGAGGAAAAATTATATGATTATCCTCCTCCAACAAAGTTAGCAATACTGCACAAGCGTTACTCTTCAGTTTATTTTTATTTCGAACATCCCAGCGTAAAACCCCGACACGAAGAAAAATGGTCATGGCATAAAAACGTCGCTCAGGTAACCAACTTACCTGGAAATATTTGTCACGACTAGTCGAGAAGACCCATTCACGGTCCAAACACAGCATCACGTTTGTAACAGAAGCCTGATGCGCCAGGTAAGTTCGCATAAGCTTCAAACTTCTGTAATCACTTTTTACTCGGAATTCCTGGAAAGCGGACAACCCAAACCGAGTTAGGCCACATTATCGTTTTTCATGATATAAAATCCGAAAAAATAAGCAGAGATGATCGAATTCCACGGACCGCTTGAGTAAGACGGGCGTGGATGAAGAAAATCGGGTAGGAAAGTATTCCCTTTTCTGCACAGGGTTTATGATCATATAATCATTTGCGGGAACAATAAATTTTCGTAAAATTTAGACTGAACTTAATAGTTTTTACCTGAAAAAAAGTTTATACGGAGACTAATTATTTTGGTGTTTTTTCAGCTTATCAAGAGTCAGCAGGGGAATGGGGTTATTCATCCTTACATCTTGAAATTATTTAACGAGTCTCGAAATTTCAAATTTCACAAAACACGATTTAACATAGAAGCCAGAATTGCAGCATCTCGGCAAGCGCAGCTCATTTGTTATGGAAAAAAATGTGATGGAGCTATGATCCAAAAAAATTCTCCAGATAATAAAATGAAGTTTCCTCAAATCATGTTTACTAGTAGATTTAAACTGACAACTTTCCTCTATCGAGTCAAGTCAAAGAAGTAGTTCAATCGTTGAAAAATTACGTGATGCGGAATAAGAAACATCTCATTCCCGTCATGTACATTTTTAAAAACAGACACCAGGCAGAAATTCCAATGACTACCCTTAAATTTGAGATTTCAAGCGGAGTATGATCATCTTAACTACGAACAATGAAAAATCGTTCAAAAAAATTGGAATACATGCAAAAGTATACACTTCTGTGAGATGAAACTCACCGCGATTGTTCCATTGCTCTGTCCGACTAGCAACCGCTTCGTTTCACCGTTCATAAGAACACACGTGGGAATTTCGGGCATGGGATGTGAGAGTGCGGGCCAATATTGCCCATTCTCCTTTTTCACCCAAATTTTTACAAATCTGAAAGATAATCCAATGTCTATTCGTTAATCCCGAGAAAGATAGCAGAATATCAGAAGACACTTCGTTTATCGAAAGGAATTTTTTCGTTAAAAACTAATTTTTGACTATAAAAACGAATCCCTTACTTGTCATCTCCAACGGTTATAACGCCATCGTCGGTTGGCAGGAAACGAGCGCAATTGACTTCTTGTCCCGAGGCTTCAATTTTCGACAACAAAGCAGGCTTCTTTTCGAAACGAGGATCCGAAACTTTTTCCACAAACGCCGTGGGAGAGATTTCCGCAGCCATCACTTTATAATATCACTTGAAATATCAATTAAATCTACACAAAACCATTGAAAATTAAAAACTGCTATCACCCACAACAGCTCGCTAACTGATCATAAATAAATAAAAACCCACTTTGCTTGTGTCATTCTCTTTAAAAGACATTGAAAAAAAGCTATCGTATCGCGATTTGTAGAAATGCAGTTGGCAAGACATATTGTTTCCAAACGCGTAGAAAAAATAGTGAAAGCCTGGATTTTTCAATAAAAGCATCCACGAAGATCAATACTTCAGATCACAAATTACACGGACACGGGATCGCAAATTCGCGAATACAGCAGTTAAGTAAGAAGCATACGGCTCGATTTTCGTTTTTATCGTTTGGGATTGATATACAAATTTAGCCGAAGTTGTTCTTTACATACAACAGGTTCGGCATCAAAGCTAATTTCAACTTTCACTGATCCTGGCAACTAAAAAAAAAATTAATTGAGCACACCTTAAAATCACCTAAAGGAATATATTGAAAAGCCACGAAATATTGAAAGAAAGAAACAATTGAATGTCAACCACACAAATCTTAAAACATGTGAACAGAGTTTTAGAACTTTTTTCTCGTGATTTTCGAATCAGATCGTTTCGTATACAACTGAAGCAACTCACATAGTTTACCATATTAATCTGGATTCTAGAGTTCTTTTTTTTTTTTTGCAAGACAAAAATCACACACAATTCACAATACAATCATCCACTTGAAATGTACAGATCTGTTTACACATTGAGCATTGTTGCCACTTCACCAGAATCTTTGATCATCGATTTTTTGCTGTCGGCCTCATCATCAGTTTTCTTCCCCTTCCTTCTTCTGTTTTATCGCGTCCACTTTCTTATCGTGTTCCTTAGCCGCATCTTTGATTTCTTGCAATTTTGCGTTCCGGTTTTCGGCAGCCTTTTCCAACTGAGAATTTATCTTGTCTTTAAGAGCATCCAATTGTTCTTTCTGAGAAGTAAGGCAGCGATTCACTGCTTCCTCGTGATCTTTCAAACGCTTAACAACAGCTTGAAGATTTTGATCACGATTGGCCGCTGCTGTCTCCAACTTCTCTTGAATGGCGTCCATCAGAGATTTGGCTTGCTCCAAATCTTCATTCTCCTTCGATTGGTGGTGCTGCATTATCTTCTCCAGTTCTTCTTTGACCTTTAAGACGGCATATACAGTACATAAACTTTTATCCAAAATAGAGTTAAAGAATGGCTTTGAGAGGCGCTTTATTTCTAGTCCAACCCTCTAGGTAAATACCATCATAAAATACCATAAATCAAAGTTGAAAACTGGATCTGAAATTTTCAAATACAAATAAAAAACTACACGGCGGGGAAGTGTTCCGAAACTTAATTTTGGGGCAGTTTTTTAGAATTGCCTTAGAGAGTTGAACCAACTGATCTAGGCCTTTTGTTTTTCTGCAACAATAACAGTAAGTATTCAGGATTTTAAAAGATATAACTATAATTTTAGTCTACTTCTTCATAGTCAATCTGTCAGAAAGCCTCCCTTCCGTCTGAAAAATTACATTGAAAAACTCACTCGTGTCTTGAGATCATTCAAGAGTTTGATTTTATTTTCCTCAGCTGCTTCCAGTTTCTGCTCCAACGCCTCCTTCGTGGACTTGATGAACTGCTGGTCTATTTCTTCCTTCCTTTTGTGAGTTTCCTCAATCTTTGAGATTCTTGCTGCCAGAGAAGCTTGTTTCTCACTCATCAAAGAATGGCGGCGTATGGCAGCATCCTCCAACTTCTTCTGGATCTCTTCAACAGTAACCGTTGGCTCCGTTGGCGACTCGAGACATGCAGGTTTCGGTGCAGCCGCCTCAGACATGACAATGTCCATTCTCACAGCATTGCCCACTTCTTTAACCATGACTTCAGGCACTTGCTCCATTTTAAAGAAGATACGTACTTCGAATTAGGTAAGCAAATGCTTCGTAAAAACACGTTTCCTCGGGAGTTTCTGCAAAGGGGATTGAAAATGGTTCATTACAATTTCCAAAAATTCAATTATTTTCGTGTTTCAATCAAACCAATAGAGAGACACGGCACTTCTGGAGCGTAATTCACACGCGCAACTCATCACAAAGATTCTGAAAAAATACATGAACTGTTCATTAGTGGCCACAAAAAAATTAGTTCGTAAATAAATATTTGAAAACTGGGATTACATATATTTCTTCAGCGACAATGTGGACATCATTCCGTGGACCTTTGGTGAAATTCCATTTTTGACTTCTCACATGAAATGCAACATCACACAGCTTCAAGGCACTACCATTCCTCTCCAACAAATAGAAAGTATTTCTTAGGAAGACCACTGGAGCCACTCACAAGGCAAAAGCTCAATTTATAAGTGTTTCATTATTATCTGGAAAGAAATCTTACAAAAACAGCATAACCTTTTAATCGGAACCTTGGCCTTAATAACCAACACAGCACCAAACTTGTAAATCGAGCAGGAATCGATTTCATCGTATCTACGAGTGAGACTGCGGACTCAATGATCCGGTGATTTTCGAAGAAAAATTAAACAGAAAATGAGTTCGCGTCGTGAACATAACCAAAGGTTGAATGAATTTCTTTTCCAGTCAGAACAAGATGTGAAACGTAAATATGAATTGGGTAAAGTGTTGGTTTTACCACAACCACGCGGGGATAACTGATAAGATAGCTCATCAAGGCATTTTCTTTCGCCATTCGGACCAGCCGTGAAAACACCTGGTCAAAGCTCGAGGCTCGTAACCTCGTCCACTCACTTTCAACACACGCTTCTTCTGTGGATTCTTGCCGTTGACGGTCTGCATATAAACCTATGAGCGACAGTAAAATCAACATCTATAATATCCCAACTCCGGTCGATTAGAGAAGGAAGTCACAAGAAGATAGGAGCTCAAAAACGGGCAAGCGCAAATTTTATGATGCAATACCATATTGTAGTTCAAGCAACGGAAAGACCTTTCCACGATCACTTTTATGGTAATTCCTTTTTTTTACGAAGTTTTAAAAAAGAATACCGATATTAGTGATCAATATGTCAATAGAGGTTGACTCTCATAACAAAAAAATTCCAGTTCCCCAGGATAGAAAAGTGAAGTGGGATCGGAGCATAAAACTCCATATTCTTACACTAGCGTATGCAATTTCCTACGGGAAGCATTGCATCACAGTGATACGAACGTCTTCCGTACAGAAATCATACCATAAAACTTGAGTAAAAAAAAAGCTATGAGAAGGGAATAAGCGTACATTCACGAAAAACTTACTAAGGCAGCCTTGTACGCCAACTTCAGTTCAACTTCACTTGCATTTGGTCCCAACCAAATGAAAATTTCTGCGCCAGTGTCCAGCAACATCACATCATCTTCAGCCAATTCATCCTACAAAGAAGATACATGCATTCCCAGAGCATTCAAAACGAAAAAGCTGATCGATCTCACTTGGCAAAAATCGTGGCATTTTTCTGAAACAGAAAAATATCCTTTGTCGTTCGAGCACCGAAACAGGCGGGTGTAGTTCATATAATCGGCTTCTCGGTCGTACAGTTTACGACCACCAATGCCGACCCAGAAGAAATTTTCAGGCTCTGCGCCTTCCTCGACGACCTGAGAAGTATCACGAATATTATTTTAATGAAGAGAAGTCGATAAGTGAAACGAAAATCCACTGCGTTAGACCAGCTAAACTCACCATCATGCTGTAATCCTCTTTGGCTCTGCAATAATCTTGCGCGATTTCCTGGATTAGATTTGCCTCAGCCTCACATGCTTTCTCACCAATCCATGCATACATAATCCCTTTATCACCACGTGGATCGAATGGCACATTCAGTAGGTAGCTAAGATAACAAATAAAAAAACCTCAGTTAAGCAACAGGCGATTAGAGCAATATGAAGAAAAAGAACAATCCATGCATACATAATCCCTTTATCACCACGTGGATCGAATGGCACATTCAGTAGGTAGCTAAGATAACAAATAAAAAAACCTCAGTTAAGCAACAGGCGATTAGAGCAATATGAAGAAAAAGAGGTCCTAGGAATGGTTTCCTACTATATTATCCCACATTGTTCAACCCGAAAGGATTAAACGGTCTGGTCCTTCGCCAGGAGGCTGGGAGGGGGTCCGTTTTTGCTCCGTTCATTCTCTAATCGCCAGGCGCATTGGCAATCATGCTCTATTTTTTGGGACATCGCATTTACTTCTGTTATATTGTACTCCTCATGTATAGCATGTTTCTACAGCATGTTTTCTACCAGGAAATCGATAACTTTTTTTTTAATGTAATTCAGTTTGATTCAGTTGCCTTGAAAGGCAAAAAATTGCTGGACCATAGTCCTAGTATACCTGAGACTTGGAGGAAAGTTATGGTCCCCCTTTCGAAAATACCCTTTTACTTTCAGCACAATTTGCGGGGTATTAGCCCATGGCGCCTGGCGCACATTCCTGAGGCCCGTGCGCAAATTCCCTTTCTTCTTGAATGGTCCAAACCGCTTAATCCGTCTACTGACCACAATGGAAAATAAGATAGTAGGAAACCATACCGGACACCAGAAAAAGATAAGACTAGGAAAAGGTAGATTAAAAACTGACCAGAAAGCTGAATTCAGGTTAGCAGCTGTAGTCGACACCTCAATGCATCTTGTGTAAATCGGATTCCCAGTAGAGCGCAGATGAAACAACTCCACCGGCGCCGAGTCACCGTACTCAGAATTTTCCGCTGAATAGGTTGAGGGGAACAAAATGCGTTACTTCGCTGCTTTACGATGCAAAGAAAATGCTTCTAAAATAAATGAAGAACTCACGTGTTTCCAGCTTTCCTTTTCTCCTGGCAAGCGCATGTAGCCTAGAGCCTCTGTGGATCATGAATTTGCCATGGAAATGAGCCAAAAAAGTGGCTCTCTCCCTTTGCTGATACTGTCTCACGATTTCCAAATCCGGGCGATTAAATTGCTGCATCAAACTGGGTCACAAAACAAATAACTGATTTGAGAATGATATGAACATGCGAGACATTTTACAAAATTTATACTAACGCCGTCAAACGATTTTACTGACATGTGTTGGATTTAGTTTGAACGTTAGCAGAAGGTGATCGAGCGATCAGAAAACATGATCGATAAAAAATACAGAAAAATTTCCGAAAACGGATCACTTTTCGAAAAAAAATTCATTTCCAACAAATCATTCCTGAACTAATGTAGGAAACTTCGAATAGTTTATTCGGGAAAAAATCTAATGAAACCAATTTTTGCCCTCATTGCAGACGATACTGTACATATGAAATTTTGAAAATGAAACTTTTCTTCTCTTAAAGGGATTCGATTCGGCTAATTTTTCGCAACTTCGCATTATTTCACAAGTCCCCTCATATTCGTTGAAGTCGGATTTTACCTGTACAGTAATCCAGTAAAAAAATCGGTCACACAGAAGGATCAAAGCTCAATGAAATAATCTGACTTTTTGAACAGTTCCTCGTTCTTCAGTGAAACCTCACATTCCTCGCGCATAGTCAAAATATATTCGATCATTCGACAATCTCATGGTAACTTACTCGTGGAAGAAGATGAGCCATCCCATTTGTGGCGCATCTCTTCCTTGCCAAAAGTAAACCACTTCATAAAAAGAAGTTGGACCGTCATCGAAATCCGAATTATCTGATGCCTCTGAAAGCCGCCTATGATCAGCACTCGTGACATCATCGATTCCACCGTCGTCACAAAAATTCATTGACATCGTCTCCGTTGTGTCTCCACCGGCCGAAAAGTCTATATCCGGCATTGGTGGGGGCTGCGGGATATTCCCTCCAAAGGATCTTTCTACAGCTGCCGAAGCCTGTGCCATAGCTGATGGCTCCCCAGCAACAGGTAAATCTGAAAGCAATTAACGAAAATCAGAAAATCCTCAGGCATGATATCTCGTACTGTCTCAAGTGCATTGAACTAGATTTCGTACCTTCAACAGCGGGCGAAACATACCGACAGAGATAAACGTAGCTGTCTTCGGAATAGAAATGACCTGATCGAAAAAATAATCATTGGTCAGGACTTGTTCGAATTTTTAAAAATATAATTTTCTCATCAATTCACCAATTTCGGCCTCCGGTAATTTGACAAACTTTCTTTTCACGAGAACGAAAGCTTCCATTTTGATCAGATCCTTGTTCCGTTCTTCAAAAGAATCTCCCTCTTCAGCAATATCTGCTTTCATTCGATCAACGAATAGAGCAGTCAAATCGACCTGCAATTTCCAAAAAATAGTAACTTGGTCGTAAATAAAACCTACAAAAAAAGATGTGCTTACTTTCGTGGTTTGTTTTTTTGCCCACTGGATCAAATCCGGCCCGGTCTTTCTCACAGATTCCACGGTACGCGTAAAATCGACTGCAATAACATCGTCCCATCCATCAAACTTGGATTTGAAGACCTGAAAACATTATACACAACGGAGTACTGTAATACAATACTGTAAGAAGGCGGCTCATCCTCCTCTCGCAAATCATCGATTAGTGGCGCTTTAAAATTTCATTCTTTGTAAATGTACGGTGGCAGACAATTTTGAAACCATTTTTGATTAACAACATTCAAGAAATTGCGGAAGCCAAAAATTGGAAGTAGAATACAACATTAAGTTATTAACAATTGGATTTGAATGCAAATGGAATTTTTCTAAAGCTCGTAAAAGATACGTCTTCGAGCAACAATGTAGCTTCATGGCATTCACAAAATATAGTACCGCCAGTTGCAAAAACAACTTCAGGTTAGTTTTGTTCAGTTTCGGTCCGAAAATTTTCGATTCAGGAGAGTTTCTGTCAAGTTTGCTCTTCAGGATGCACATTTCTAGCAAATCGAGCAGGGGCGTTGAAGCGTAGTCCAACAAACTTTCAAATATGAAATCCTGAAGTACAGGAAACGGATATTTCTGTAATTCACAAGAATAAAAAAAAAATGAATCTAACCTGCGTTTCAGTTCCCTCTGTAACGCGTATAAGAGACGCATGATGCGACCGGTTCGGAAGCAAGTGAAGTAGTTCCTCTGCAAGTTTTGTCGCAGCTGCTCGTACAAGTCTTGTAGAATTCTTACCGAACCTGGAAGGTGTGCGTATAAATTAGACAGTATTAGTTATTCATATGTTTAATAGATTGGCCATGATCATCAGAAGCGAATAGAAATTGCGCAGGAATAAATCTTTTTCTTTTCAACGAACACAAGCGTTCGGCTTTTTGCTTAGCTCGGAAAAATTATTGTTAGCAAGGAAAGACGAGATTTTTCTACCCAATGTCAACCTCAGGAAGAGCCGGAGGGTTTGATCCAGGAATAGTTTCCCTTTGAATTTAAAAGAAACAAAACGGAATTTCAAGCTAAAATGTTCCGCTATGCAGTTAAAGCACGATCCACGAGTCAACTCACCAAACGAAGATATCGTTGGAAGTGTCAAGAACATACACTTGCTTCGATTTCAGTACAGCTTGCGTGAGATGACGATGTCTGTTGATGATTTCCAAGGGCCCGCAAGGTTTTGAATGTGGATCGGAGTGCTGCTTTTCAGCTTCGTTCAACGCCAAGTCAAACAGATCAACTCGTGACAGTTCCAAATAACCCATACCAAGTCCAACTTGATACAAGCAAACTTTCCGCGGTTTCCAATCTTCGGGTGTTTCGCGCTGCAAAATATACCATATCCCAGCTACTTGACCACATTGTTTTTTTCTTATTAAATATTCGGTACAACAAGTGTGGTTGGAACAAACATGAAAGCTCATGCTCAAGGATTTCAAAGGCGAAGTGACTAATGCATCAAAAATTCAAAAAAGTCGTTCAAACCTCGAGATCGGCATCCGGTGCGTCGAACAGCCCAAGCCCAAGCCAAAATTCAATTGGTTCCTCGCCCTGCTCAAACATCATAATTTCGGACATATTTTTCCGTTCGTTTTTGTTGATTTTCTCCGCCAAAAGGCGAGCTTTTGATTTCATCGTGTGTTTAGCTTCTGATCCCATCCACACGAACATTTGCTCTCCGAGGTCAAGTACGAAGATGAACCCTGGGTCAAGAGATTCTGATTCCGGGGCAACCGACTCAAGATGGATTTGGTGGCCATACGCGTGCACTCGATACATTCGCTTCATGTGAACCTACAAGTGTAAGAAAATTCAGATCATTGTAAGGGGTAAAAGGAGAAAAATGCACGGTTGTACTACTTGTACATGACGCTTGATAGATGCCGAGTTAAAATGTAAACCAATTCCACGTTCATTCGCCTACTCAAAACACTAAATTACTGGGCAAACAGACATCACATGACATGCTTCTCCATATTAATGTGATTTCAATACGTGAAGGATTACCGTATTCTGGTTCATTTAATCTGAGCATAAAAAACCGAATGATTACGTATCGTCGAGGTGATACAAAAATATCAACTAACCGGCTTTTCCACAGAAAAGAATCCCGACAACGTTCGACCTCCTTCGATGTATGTGATCTTTCCGTCGAAAAGTTCCAAGAATTCGCGAGACTCATCACCCTGCTCCTCGCGAAGGGTTCGACATCTTGCTCCCAGGAAGTCTCGCAAGTAAACTGCGTGAACAGCTGAGCAAGTTTGCTTGTCTTTCTACGGGGAATACGTGAAGCAAGAAAATAATAGTAACAGGTTCACACAAAAAAATCAAATTTAAACTAGAGTGAACAGTTCAGAATGCGCGGCGCAAAACCATTAACCTCAAGATACACCATCAAAAACATTACGTTATATCCTATATGACTAAGGCATGGTTCATAAAAACGGATGGATAGAATGGACAATACTCACGGGCGATTTTTCACCAATCCAAAAGTATATTTGCCAGGCTAATTGTGCTTTATCGGTCAAAAAAGTGTTGAGCACGATGTAGCAGTCTCCTTCATAGAAATTCCCGTGGATGGCTTCATCCAACATGGATGGCAGGAAGTTATCAATTTCCCACACAGTCAATCCGGGTGTTTGCCCCACGTGCTCCTGGAAGTACTCCGAAACATCCAATTTCGGTTTCTCAAGACGGTCTTCCCACCGCTTCGGTCTAACCAAAACATTCAAGGAGCCATTTGAGCAAGTTTAAGAAAAATTAATGTACTGTTCATTTCCAACAAAAAGAGGACTCTAAGTTTAGGGAAAATTTGCAATAATTTAATTTTAAAAATACTCGAAATTATCCAGCTATTCTCTCACAAATTCACTATCCTTTGTTGGATCGTACATAAAATTAGGACAACAAGCCTCCCCAAAGAAAAAAAAAACCCTTCAAACCAAGATCATGAACGGAATTTCACGGAAAGCAACACTTTCCCTTACATGAGCGATTCTGATGCTGTATCGGCAGCTGCGCCATTCTTGGAGCGATTCTTCGCTTTCGCCACTTCTTTCATTCCCTTCATAAATAAAACTTGGTGTTTTAAAAAATCCTCGGGTAAGGTATCCTTTGTAACTCACATTCAAAATTTTTGTCTGATCCTTGTCAGGTGTCTCGCCCCGACTTTTCCTCAGTCTAAGCTTTCGTGCAATCGGGTCTTTCGCAGCATCTGCAAAAATCATTCCAAAACAACATGCGAACAGCCCCTAGCTTCAGGAAAAGGGTAAGTGTTATGGTCTTACTTTGCGCGGCAGAATCTGTATGCTGAGGGGCAGTTCCACCAACATCCACCGAACAAATCTTGGCTTGGTGGTTGAAATCAATATTGTAATATTGTAAAGTCGGCCCCAAGAACCCAGCAGGAATCGGCGGAATGTATAAGTCGGGGTTTCCCTCCAACTGTGAATCAACAAAAACGCAAGATGATTGGAGAATTATACGGAGTACAAAACATTCCTGTGCTATGGAACGTTAGAATTTCCTTTCATTTTTCAATTAAACGCGGAAAATTCATTGAAATCAGTGAATAAGTAAAAAATGTGTAGCCTTAGGAATGTTTCCCTAAAATTTGTGGATGACCCACGGAGTTATCTTGTACTGGTCAGGCAATGAGTGTTAGGAAAGATAGTGTCAGTTTTAAACATGCTAAAAGTTTGGTCATCTTTCCAAGCCCTGGTGATCAAAGATAAGCATATCTTTTGTCCTAGAGCTTTTGCACTTCCTCCCCTTGCGTTGCTTATCATTTTGGCAAGAATGCCTTTAGTCTTTAAAAGAGCCAGAATTATATTTCTGGCATCAGACCTAATTCAGACTTGGCCAGTTTAGTTAGTCTCGAAACTTTGCACGGGCAAAGTTCATCTGTGTTGCATACTTTTGCGGTCTTGTGTGTTGTGCTGTATTTATCCTGTTGTGTTGTATTTATCTTGTGTGTCTAAAATAAATACAGTATCTCTATTACTTATTAAAAATCCGATTTCCTTTAAATTTAGATAACAAGTTAAAAAAAGCAATCCCAGCAGAGGGAAACACAAAAGTCTGACTGCTGCAAATCATGAGTTCGAAGAAACCGAAAATGATCGATCCTCGTATTACTGCAGCAATACTCATGCGCTCGCATGATGAACACCACGGCACTTGAAAATTGAGATGCCTCATTTGAAATCAACTGGAAATGCGTGTGAAATTTATTCACGTTGGATCAATCCGTTCTTAAAGAGGGACGAAACAAAAAAGTTAGTGAAAATGTCTCCTAGAAAGATGCTTTCTTCCGTATCGAGCTACCACCCCACGATCGCGAAAATTGAGCACAATATACTGTATTTCAATAGCTGAACATGGCATGTTTCTGTAAGCCAAGATGTTTCAAACACACTTGCTTCCAAAGAAAAGCACTTGCCTGCAAATCAAGTTCGGTAATGCGATGAATCGTGTCTGGCAGCGTTACAAGCCGATTATAACGCAGATCCATCATTCGTAAACGAGGACAGCGACATAATCCTTCTGGGATCATTTCCAATTGGTTATGAGCAGCGTTGAAAACTTCCAATTCAGTTAATTTGCAAATGCTAGATGGCAATCCTTGGAAAGTCAATTTGTTGTAGTTGACATACAGCCGACGCAAACGTGTCAACTTGCAAATGGAAGCCGGCAGCGAGGACAACTCATTTCTCGACACGTTCAGAACTTCCATGCTCGTCCATATATCTGATGGACAATATAAGCGTTCAATTAAAGATATTTTCGGGCAATTGTCGTCCGAACTAAAAGCATGTGAACGCTGAACACACCGACTGCGACTGATAAGTCCTTGATGCAGTTGTCGGATAAATTCAAACGCTTCAGCGAGCTTATCGAATATAGACAGTCGGGAACTTTGGGCAAGTCGTTATCCGAAAAATCCACATCTGTTAAATGAGTCAGATTTTCCAAGCTCCCTGGTAAATTTGCAGGCGTTCTCTGCGTATTGTGCATCCACAAGGTGTTCAAAGATACCAAAGATGATAACTGCCTGCAATCGAAAACCAAATGCAATTTCAACTACGGACACGATTTCAATCATTAGGTCTGAGCAAACTAAGGAACCAAAGAAATGGTAAGAAAAGTAAGGAAATGGTAAGGAAAGTAAGGGAATGGTAAGGAAAGTAAGGGAATAAAAAGGAAATAGCAAAAATAATTCATTACAAGTTCTAAAACGAAAAAAAAAATAATAATTGCCCTGATGAATCGCCTGAAACGTGTCGAAGGATTATATCGAATTTTTACCTTAAATCATAAACCTTTCAAGAGCTAATAAGAGAGAGCATGTAAATCTATCGCGGGTTTTTTCGTAAGTTTAACGGGATAATAAGTGAAGTAAGACGTGAAACGGAAGAACAGGTCGAACGAGAGACGAAACCAAAGAATACCCGAAATAGAATATTGAATTTCAGAACAGAAACACACTCTCACCGGAAATGGAAATGTCCTAAAGGATTGTTGTTCAAATTCAAAACTTGCAAATTCACCAATCTTCGCATTTGCGGAGGGAGGCTTTCGAGTTCATTGTCGCTCAAATCCAAATGCAACAAATCGACCGTATGCAAGAAAACACCAGTCGAAATACTTGAAATCCTGAAAAATAGAATCCGAACTTAATTTGAATCTCCTTCGATAAAATGAAGATGTCGCTCACTTATTATGACTTAAATTTAGAACGAGTAAATTCTTCGCTCTGTCCAGTCCATCCGGAATGTAGCGAAGTTCATTGCAACTCAAATCCAGCGTGGTCAGCTCGTCTAGCGTGAAAAGATCCGAAGGAATGCCTGAATTTTTCAAGCAGTTTCTCCGAAGGTTCAGCGTTCTCAGGCAAGAAAGTTCAGTAATTTCTCCGTGAACTTTCGTCAAATGATTGTTCTTCAAGCTGAGTTGTTCCTGTAAAGATTTAACAAACGCATGATATCACGCACAGTGCGCTTATGCGGGAAGAAAAAAATTTCACTCACCAGCTTTCCCAATTGTCCAATCACTTCAGGAACAACTCCAAGCTCGGTTTCATTAGCTTTGAGCCATCGAAGCCCATCCATTCCCTCAATTTGTGGAAAGGATTCTTTATCCTATTGGATAATTGAGTTTTACAAAAATTAAAGATACATAAATACAATCTTCAAATCAACTTACCTTGAAATCATAATGAGATAGGTCGATTCCTCGAATAAACGGGAGCACCCCAGTTGCTCCCATTCTGCACTGAATCAAATTTAGATTACCACCGATACGAAGGTCATTTAAGAACGGAACCTGCCAAAACGAAGCCACACATCAACAGTTCGAAAATTGTTCTAAAAATAGAGTTTTCAGACTTCAATGAACTATGCTTCCTCCATTTTATCCGCACAACTTCGCGGATCAACGATAAAATCACATAACGGTACTCAAGATGTACCAAGGTGAATAAAGAATCTTTGGCTTTTCAGGACGACGTCCATCATATGAACGAAAAAGTAGTGCTGCACACCAAAGGGATTTCCTTCTCAATCAATGTACATTTAAGTAATGGGACTTTTTTAAATGGAAATGAAGCATGTATCTTTACAAAAACCGAAATCTTTTGGAAGATAATCGCGAGTTTAGACTGGGAATATTTTCAGTTACGGTGAAAATTTCTCTAAATGCATGATCAACCGCAAATCCAGGTTTCAATGCGATTGTTGGAAAATGTGTCGTTCATGGAAGTTGCGAATAGTCTGCTGGAATTTGAATCGCGGTAGTGAATTGAGAAATTTCACACTTGAAATTCATCAGATTCAATCCAAAGCTTAAACGTTATAATCATGTTCAACCACGAGAAAGCTGCGGTCATCAGAAAAACATTTCACGAGGACGAATCTTGTGCACGCGTTCGTAAAATATTTTTGATTTCATCAATCAAGCCGTCTCTCTTGATTGTCTTCTCCGAGCGGGAAACGACATCCCGAAGCTTCACTACACCTTGCTGAATCTCCGATTCTCCAAGAACGATTGCCAACGGGATGCAGCGTTCCTCGCAAAACTGCAGCTGAGCCAAGAGCTTTGGATTTCCTTTGTAGGATTGCTCAGCCTGTGTATAGACAAAAAATAAAACTAAATTATCACATGAATTGTATTCAACAGCTTCAAATTACCTTGTAGAGTCCATACAAGAAAAAATAATCATTTCTTAGGAAGCAATGGCCTAAAGGACAGAACCAGTCATCATACTGAGTCCCAAAATGCAAAAATTCAGTACAGTATTGTAAGGTGCCCTAACACATGCGTGTAAGCCATGCCATGCATTAAAAATTATTTTAGCTTAATTTTAACCATGAGCAAAGATTTTGAATATCATCCCATTATAGTGCAGTACTACAGTCGGAACTGTTGAGTGAAACCAGGAGTTTTCACGTAAAGAATTAAGCGAAAGGCAGAATAAATACAAAAAATGTTTCCGATGCGACAATCAACAACTTCGCGAAGGAATAAACCAGAAGCATACTGAGCTTCGTGTGATTGGAATTTGAGCTTGAAATTCATTTTTGACTCCCAGTGACATCTACCCACTTAATCATTGTAAAGGTCGAAGAGTGAAAGAAGTCTCGCACCATTACATTTTCGACGCCCCACAATAAGCATCTCCACACGAACGAACATGAACGCACCTTCACGTTATTTTCCCACAAAAGCTGGCACAGCTTCATCCTCTCCTCTAGCAATCCTTTCTGTGCACTCGCAACATACACTTCCGTCGCACTTGTTCGCAAAGATCGCTGTTCTGCGATAGCTTTTGCCTCCAAAATCGAGAACAAACGTTCGACGCCGATGCTAACTCCGACGCAAGGAACACTCTTGCCTTTCGCATCGAACATTCCGACGAGATTATCATAACGGCCACCACCTGCTACACTTCCGATCCCAAGGGAACCATCATCATCGCCTTCGTTAGTTTTTGTTGGCGGCTTTTTCTTCTTCTTTCCAGACACTTCTTCCTTCGGGAGATTTTGGATTCCTATAAAAGCCACGATTGCAAATCAAACGCTCATCCTAAAACAGAAACATGTAGGAAGGAAATCTACCGTTTTACATTATAAAATCCGAGGCATCTGAATTGCCGGAAAACTGGATAAAAAAAATGGAAAATCAATAGGAAAATTCAGTACTGTGCGACAAAAAAAAATTACCTGTTAATACGGACTCAAAAATTATTCCGGTGTAGTAATCCAGGCCACGTGCCAAGCTCATATCGAAAGAAACACGCGGCAGAATGGAGTAAAGCTCGGCATAGCGAAGGAAAAGACGCATCGATTCCAGTCCTTCTTTGGCGGCCTTGTTGGCTGATATCAGCGGATCGGAGAGAAGCTGTTCCACGAGATCGTCCTTCCCATTCAGTTTAACGTATTCTCCAATTTTATCGGCAACTTCTTCGCTAAGTCCTTTTTCTTTTATCATTTCGGCCTTCACCTCAGGCCACGGAGACTGAAAGATAATCATAACAAACCAAGTCATTAGGGCCGTTTGACGATGACGAACTCATTGAAGAACACACATTTTAACGATTGTAGAACATAAATAAATAAATAAATATTGAAATGGATGACTTACCTTGTCTAGCTTGTCAACAGCCGAGCAAATTGAGCGGAATTTTTCAACTGGGACTCCACAGGCCTCAAAAAGACCATCCAAGATTTTCCTGTGGTTGACTTTTATCACGAATTCTCCGACATCCAGAGAAAGCAGAATTTCATCCACTATTTTCGCACATTCAACGTCCGGGATCATCGGGTCGTATTGACCTGCAATGTCAAAATCCTGAAAAACGAACAGAATCATCACATTCTGTAAAAAGGACGTGTCTACAAAAGCAGGCCAACATTTAAAAAAATGTTTCGTAGTCCTTTCACATAGGTCATACCAAAAACTAATGACTTGGAACTTAAAAGTAATGCGAACTAGAGAAGCGGTCAAAAGTGTACCATTGTTTCAACCCGTAGCGAGATCCCTGAATATTTAATACGCGCACGAAAAAATTCAGTTTTCAATAACAACGACAAAAATACATGCAGTACTGTATTAGAAAACTCACACATTGAAGAAATTCTCGGTATCTTCCGCGCGTCATGGCAGGATTGTCACGACGGTAGACCTTCGCAATTTGATACCTTTTGATATTAGAAATCTTTCCCATCGCTAGATACCTCGCAAATGGGACAGTGAGGTCATAACGCAAAGCTAAGATTTCTCCTCCTTGGTCTGCCAGGTCATAAATCAATTTTGAATCTTCGCCGTATTTTCCTGTCAGAACATCCTATTCAAAAATATAGAAAAATACAATCTACATGCGCACAAAATCTCGAGTGATTCATACCTTCAATTCGAAGACGGGTGTATCAATATTTTCCGCACCATGACGCTCAAAGCATGAAACAATTTTGTCGAGCATACTTCGCCGCAGCATCATTTGATATGGGTGATAATCCCTCGTTCCTTTCGGAGTCTTTAGAACAAGCTTTCCGCTGGAATTGGGCTCGTCAGCTTTCAGCCTCACATTCTTGAGGGCTTGTGTAATTTCCACGTGTTGCTGAAAATGCAATCAATTTTATCTCGAATAGGGCATTTCTACGAAAACACATGTAAAGGATCATTAGCTTTCATCAATAAGTCATACCTGAGGCGAATGCATCGCAAATGAAGAATACACCTGCCGCGATTTCAAGCCATGTACAACGTACGATTTCGTGGAGCGCAACATCGCGGCTTACTAATTTGCACAATTAATTCTAACAATCCTGCATGTACAGTGCGAACATCAATTTTTTCCACATAACACACGTACCTGCGCATCAGACGAACAATTCAGCTGTTCTGTTCCGCCTCCTTCATTTACAACGCCATCACCACACGCCGACATTTTAAGCACACTATTCGCGCGTGAAATCGCCTAATAAAGGAAGAAAGAGAGACACAGAAAATGCGGTTAAATTTTCTTGTGCGTAATTTGATACTGCACCATTCGTTCACAATCAACTACATAACATTGAATTTCCATTGCACACAAGGGAACCTGATTCAGGAATCATCTACCATATAACTTATAACGAAGGATCACGAAACCTTGAAGATCTTGCACCGTTTGGAAGAGTTTAGCGTTCCGTGAACACAGATTTCAAATTTAGAATGTATTCGCACTTCGGAGGTCGTCCGTCGAAACTGCAGAAAAAAACACACACACAGATACTCAATACGAAGCCGAACTCAAGAAACGTTTCTTACCCATGTCTTCCGTATTGTATCTGCAGTAATAATATTTTCTGACTTCCGGCGCTTGTGCATTCTCGCCGTCTGAACTCCACAGGCTATAAAAAGGCCCATTTAGCACATGAAATAGCTCGCACAAAATAAGATTCAAGCAAATAAATTTTAATTATACATATAATGAAGGCTAGAAAGAATGACGAGACAGCATTCTTTTTTGAATGTGCAGTGAAAAACTACGCTGGGAATCGTGAAAAAAGATGATGAGAACAAAATTGAACCTAATATTTCATGACGTTCCAATTACTGTAGGAAAATTCCAAATCAGTGATCACAGCAAACCGGGTCGACAATATCCAAGTTTCATTCGCGGGCATTACGTTCCGCTTCGAACTTCGCAACTTCCTTCTCCCGTCGAACTGCTTCTGCGCACTTTTTCCGGTACTCCAGCACTAGACATAAAAAAGGCAGGAAATAGGATTTTCAACGCTTATATCTAAAAACCAGAGAAACGTAATCAATCGTACCTTGAGAAGGAGGAAAAATCTCTTTTTCGGCATTGTCTCGAAACTTGAAATCCGGCCGAAAAGTCATCCCTGAAATGCGACACAATCACAGATTATGTGGAAAAACGTTCAATGCTCTTCTATGAGACTTACTGTAATTTCCGGTTGGCATCCTTTCTGCTTGGATGACATTGTTTCTCAACGTATCAGCAGCTTCGTGTGCGCTAGCAACCAACTTTTCAAAACACGTTAGTCCAAAGCTTTTCAAACCCAAATCCATTCGATACCTTCATTATTTCGTCTTCTTCGGCGACATCCGCATTCTCAATGAAGTGCTTCCGCGTTTCTTTACGAGCAGCTTTTGAAAGGAAGCACGTGAGAAAGGGAGACTTGTTATAAACGAAAATAAAATAGTCCGAACCTTGAAAAGTGAATTTGTCCCCATGAAAAACGTATGCTGCGGTTCTCAAGACACGTTTGTAGCTTGCCAAAACCTAGCAAATTTTGCGACAAGCAATTGTTTCAGAAGCCCAACAATCAAATGGAAAATAAATCTTACTTTTCGTCGGATTTCTGACGAAGACATGATGGTCAGCTCGATCCTCGATTCACAGGCTAAATTTTATTTTTTTCGTAAAAATCTATTTAATCGAATTTTGGAAACGCATCCATCCTGGCGGGATTTCACTTAGACAGGCAACAAGGGAGACATAAGTAACGCATGCTCTTTTCTTTGAAAAAATTAGTTTCGACAACACGTTGTAGCGCAAAACATGAGCGACGATTCGCACACCATCCTGGGATGAACTGGTACTGTACTAAAAAAAAGTACTTAGCTCCTAGAAATTATAAATTTCACATTACGCTCCCTCATGTACAGTAGAAAGAGGGAAAATCAATGAATCCCCAATCCGAAAATGGAAAGTATTTTCAAGTAAGAAACCCTTCTGCAGGACCAATGAACTGGCACCTTTTGAAATTCAAATCGAAGCTCATGATTCACAAAAAAATAGTTTAATAGCGATTGGGGTAGAAAAAACGCCGTGACAGTTTCTAATTAGCAATTTGATATTCCAGCATTCTTTCACAATAACTACAATGAATTCTCATTGCACACAAAGGGAACCTGTTCCACGAATCATCTACCAAATAACTTCGAACGAAGAATCACGGACGCTTGAAAGACGTCGCACTGTTTCATGGGGTGTAGTCTGTCTTAAACACAGGTTTCGGATTAAGAATGTATTTTGCTCTGGGGTCATCATCCCTCATGACTGCAAGCAAAAACAGACGGTAGTAATCAAGAGTTAAAATAAAAAAAGCAGTCATCATGACGCTTTTCTTACCCATGTATTCCATCTTGTATCTTCTGTAATAATCTTTTTCGGAATTCCAGTAATTGTACATTCTTACGGTCTGAACACCGCACGCTACAAATAAGGCTCATTCAGCATAGGAAATCGGTTATTAAATCACAAGCCGTCAACACACTCACCTCCCAAGAACAAAATACCAGCAAGAGTTTGACAAGGAAGTTCATTGAACAGTTGTCGTACCATTCCTCTAACTACACGAACAGAATAAGAAGGTATTTCAACCGCGCAACAAATCACGGAAACACACCAACTAACCTCCTTCACCATATTTTTCCGGATTGAAGTGGCGCCAGTAGCGTGGTCTGGCCGATCTCAATCGGCTTGCCATTACGAAAGTGGGCGAAAACGGGTTCAAACACGAACAATTTTATCCGATAAGGAAACTTCCTACCAAGAAAAGGAGATACGTCACACGCACTCTATTGCGTTCGAAAACTTATCGATCATTCGAATATAAGACCCGAAACGAAAGGATGCACAAAATCAGTCATATCCTGGAGTATCTTTCCTGTTTTCAGAAATTCCAATCCCACTGAAAATCTCTGAAGCATTGCAGTCTTTGAATCATTTCAACACTTCATACAAAAGGTATTTCCAGGAAAATACCTGGACGACTGTCTGTCACTCAGTCTGGTATCTAAGCACATCACCACGAAGTCGAACACAACGCGTAGAACTTCGTCAAGTCGCAGTTTGCTTTGTTGAAGCTCGTATCCCACTGTCACTTTGTCCCACGTTCGGTCAATCACAATTAAGACAGGACAACTTCCGGAGTTCCGGGTGGACGAGCAGGGTGTTGGTGGAGCTACGCAGTTCCTAAAGTAGATGTCGCGCGGAAGAGAATGCGTCACCCACCTCCGATACTGGATTGGTCGAACTTTGGGACCAATTCAATTACAGAAGGTTGAAGTACTGTAATGTCCTAGATACGGTACATGAAAAGCATTCTTGACGTTCGCGAAGTTGAACAAGCTTAATTTTGTGTGCAGGATCACGCTGCCATTTGCCAATATAGTTTTTTACATTCTGCTAATGAATGGATGAATCAAGGAATAACACCATATATCCTGATCCTAAATGAAACATTATGTGAGGTCATCCACCAATTTCGATCGTTCTCACCGATTTCGATTTTCCGTATGGTGTATGTAACGCTTGAATACACATAATGTACATCATACTGTATATGCGAGCCTACCCCACTGATGGCACCACTTACAAAAAAATTGAACACGGCAACTGATCTGGTGCAGTGTTCTACAAAAGTTAGCACTTGCTGTATTTGCAGTTTATACGGTACGACCCTTGAAATGTGCATAATTGAATCAAGGAGAGAACATAAATCATAAAATTTACATAAATTTCAACTGTAAATGTTTCATTGTTACACTATTCAAAAAATAAACCAAACTACCAATGTCCGCTTTATCCCAGAGATGATACCGGCACAGAAAACTGAAATGAAACTCAAAACGCGAAGGAACTCGTCGGTTAGTTTTAATCATTACTTCCATTCCCGTTTCTACACACAACATTGCGATTTCCGAAGATTTCACGAACATTCTGCAGTACAGTACTTCTCACGGACGACTAATTCAATTTCCACATTTGATCACAAAATAGTATCCGCATTGTTAAAACATATACGAGGTGAGAGATGCTGATGACAAATATCAAATCAATCACACATGAGCAAGAGGCGTAGCTGCTAAGTCAACGTTGTAACGATCATTGACCCAGCAGGGCTTAACCACCTGACTCCACCGCAATCAATCAGGTCACTCAAAGAAACGAAGCTACAATCGAAAATGGTAAGCTACTGAAAAAAAGAAGACTCGCACTTATGAGGACCAAGAGTCGAATCAGAAAGTGGGTTCCTCCAACACGGCACTTATTCAATGACATCCATTCCACCAAAAAAGGAAACAAGATATCGGCGCTCCTTTCACAATTCTACTTGAGAATATCCAAAATTTGACGAAAACTTCTCCATCATGGCCGTACGCAAAACTAAACACAAGAGTCTTTCACCGGCATCCACACGTGTCCAGTAATAGCTTCATCACTCCAAGTGACCTCACGATAATTACAACAGATTCACTCCTGCCCAAATGGTGCAATGCCAAATTCTTTGTTGATGATGTCGGCGTAATAAGACATGAAGACACGTCTGTTGTGTACAGTAAGCTGCAGAAACATTGCCGCCAACTCCTTCAACTCTTCATGCACTGATGTTAGGCCAGGGGGAAATTTTGTGGGGCTCGCTGTGGCCGAGTTTATAATAATTTCGAGGAAGCCTCGAATCCGTTGCTCTGCGATAATAAAAACAAATAAAACGATTATTTTGCCTCCGTCTACACCTGAGTGTTTCATGATGTTCGATTCAGAAGTTTTGCTAGTTCATCACTCTAGAGATTTCACAAGTCAAATATGGACATAATTTTCATCGAGTTCAACATTCAATGAATACCGTGCAGAAATTTCATAACTCAAAACAAAAAGATCTTTCGGTGTAATGCATCTTGAGTCATACTAGACAAACATGCGCGTAAACAAGTGTCATCTCAAGATCTCGGTAACTATTGTGACAAAGATTCTGAATTTTAGTGGGATCTTAAAATGTCAAGCATAACGAGCAAAAAGTTGCGCTTGTCAGGGCTGCAATTAAGGAGGATATCAGCAAATCACGAGAGATCAGGCTCATGCTTTTTTCCTTAATCATTTTTTCCGACTCTGCGGATTTGGTAACGAGATTATTTCATGATGAAGCTCAACTTTCAGCAATCCTTTAGAAGGAGGGTTTCAACAAACGCAAGAGCTTATTAAGTTATTATTATCGCTTATGAAATTTTACTTCAGTATAACAAAGTGGGTGGATGAGGCCATCAGAAATCCACGAAGTTAAGACGAATAATTTTGAAATGCTCGCAAAATTTTAAAACCTACCCTCGCACCTATATGAGGAGAAAATATTAATTTTCCCCCGGATAATTTCGCTTTGATCACTCACCGACAAGTTTCCGGATATTATGGTTCGGATCAGCAGCGCTCGCAATTTGATCGATCAATGAAGCTTTGACTTCCACAGAAAGCCGAACATCACCGACGACTCCCAATGGGGAATGGGCAACCAAAGCTTCATCGATGTCTTTGGCAATAACTTCACCAGCACCTCTCAACTTCTCTTCCAATTCCCTGAAAATATTGCAAATTCAAATTTGCTGTTCCTCTTATTGCTTGGTTTCCGGGCGAAGTACGATTTTCATCCCGGATTTGGGAGAGTACAGTACTGTACTTCGAAATTTTCAGATGGTCGAGTCAAGCGAATTTATTATTTTGATTCATCTTCAACAAACTGAAAAATGCGAAGAAGATTTCGAATATTCAGAAAACATTAAAAAAAAATAGAAAAGCCCTATTGCAACCTTTCCCTTTTTCGTCTGTTAAGGGGTTAATTTTGAGTAGGGTTAAGGGGTTCATTTCGAATAATGTCGTTCGAAGTCAGGGTGAAACTGAATGCCGACATCTACTCGAGTCTCAAGAGAGCCCAGACAATTACTGAATAAACGTCTTGAAAAGTTAACGAACAAATACAATAGTTGAACACTTGAAGTTCTGGCAAAGCGCGAAAACAGATCCGAGACTCAAAAAGTAAGATTTTGAGACTAAAAAGACTAACGTTTTCTCTGCGCTTTCATCCTCAAGAAGAATCTTCAGCTTCTTCTTCAAAGTTTCTCTGAATCCTGGCAAACCTTGAGGAATTTGTCCTGCATTCATCATAGTGATCAGCATCACTGTTCCCAAGAGAGACACGCTTTGCAGCATCTCTCCAAGGCTAATGAATCGAGCGAAATCCAGAGAACAAGTCTAATAAAAAAAAGATGGTCCTTTAGAGGCTTGAATAATCTGGAAAAAGAACATTCTACTGTATATATCCTTCAGAGCACCATGTTCGTTCGATTACTTGGTTCTTGCCACTAGATGAGCAGAACACTCGATCATGCCGACTTTTACTCATTCAATTTTTCAAGTTGTTTCAAGACTTATTTTCAAAATACTCCCAGTTACAAGGGATAGTATGTACATACATACTAACATACAGTTTTACTTAATATCATAACAATTTTAATTTGGGTATTCAGGTTTTTTGGGTAATTAAGTTTGAGTAAGATAATCAAAAAACTTGTTTTCCAAAACAATTATCCCTACTTCAAAGAACAGAAGAATGACCGCATACCTCCGGGTATGAATCAGAACTGGTCCATGTCAACAACTCCAGATATGCCGAAGTTATGATTCTCGCTATCAAAATTTTCCTCTGCGTCGCATCCGCAAAATTTGGAAGACTCTCCGACTTCCGCATCTCGTCACAATGCTTTTTCAGCCAATTCGTTGTATTCTCCAGTCCACCTAAATAATTACAGAACAACAGCGGATTTAATAATACGATTCAGCGAGGCTCACAAAACTGTGTATAACACAAGCTACAACATTAAATAAATACGATATCTCACTTGGACACGCTTTCAGAAACTCGGAGAATTTTTTCCGTTCATATTCGACGCTTTGTGCTTGGAGATGCGGTCGAATAGCGCTGATGGTGAAATTTGCCAGGTCCAATTTCATGGATTTCAACGTCTGCAAAATCATTCAAGAATCGCCGAAATGAAGGCTAGTTTTACACGGTTAGGAGAAATTCTCTGTTATCATATAAATGCAGGACAACTCTTTCAAAAAAGGCAATGAGTACTGTATTACTAGAACGAATTTATAAACGAATCCAAGACCAAGATTGATAGATAAATGGATATTTCTTTTTAAAATCTTAGTTCGCTTCACGTTTCTATCCCGTGACACTGACCTCAAGCACATTCCTGAATAAATCAGGGATGTCAGTCATCCTGGTCATTTCCATGATAGCGTCATCTCGAACTCGGCAACAAATTTTCGCCATGATGGACACACAATATTGTAAATAAGGCATTATTTCCAACTGTCCTGCGTCTGCTTGCTGTTTCAACAGTTGACTGTCCATTTTAGTATCGATCTCCTCTTTCGTTCGAGTGTTGTGCGGCATTAAGCAAGCATGAAGGTCTTCCTTGATTTCCCGCAATAAATCCAGTGCCATTGTGAAGTCTGGAGGAGATTCGTTCAGTTTGCTTCGCAGAACATCGAAGAAAGCCTTGTTCATCATCTGCTTTACTTTGTCTTCCAAACTGAAAAGAAAGAATTGAATCAAACACCATTATCTCAAAAAGGGCGAATGACAGAAACGGAACTCTCTGAAAAGCAGGTATCAAAACAGCAAGTAGGATACGTAAGATTTGATGAAATCAGCCTACGTAATTACAATTCATTTCAGAATTCGTATTTCTTCCATTTAGAGACACAAGTTAATAGCAAAAACATTCAATCCAACACAAAATTTGCTAAGATATCCGATCTTTCTTTAGACTTTTCGAATAGAAGACTTACGGAGAACTTGGGTTGGCTTTTTCTTCCAGCTTGAAGTTCTGGTCGACCGCAATTTCATGCGCCAATGCCATATTTTCCACTCCCTTGGTCGCTTTGATTATTTCTTCCAAGGAAACAAATCTCGGTGGAGATGACGAAATACCAAAAATTGCGTCACTGGTAATATTGACCCTGTCCGCAATTTTCGTCACCAATGACTTTTTCGGAGTTCTGCGGGGAAATTTTCATCAATCATACTGTTATATATTAAATCATCTCAACACGTGTATCAGCAAAGAGAAAATTCAGTTAATTTATTAATGTAAAAAGCAACAGAAAATCCAATAAAAATCAAAACTTATGAAGTGTAGAAATTAAAACGTCAATGAGTCATTCTCGTACCAAGGATCCGTACATAAAACATAAGATATGTTTTCCACGAATGAAAGAATAATATTTTTTACAGTACACTGAAAGTATTTATTTTAAAAATTCGTATTCTTTATATTACCTCAAACAAAGTCATGTTGAAGAGAAAAAGAGGCAGTCGCTTAAGAGGGAAATCTGAGCTTTGCTAACTCTAGCTCCGACAGCATGCACATTTATTTCTTTTCAAAAATTCTACTTGAACAGTCGAGTACAATATTTGATATACAGTAATTAATCTCGACAGGCCGCTACCATTTCTTCGTGAGGTTTGTGGTGGTTGAAACGGAGTTGACGTGTCATCAAAAAAGCTAAAATGATGCAAAAATTCATCAGAATAGGTAACTAAATTTTTATTCCTACAGGAAACAGTCAAAATAACCCAAAGATGAACAAATTATATCTAGCTGATGTACCCAAGAAGTAAATCATGTCATCTTCGTGTTTTTCCATTGGAAACCTCTCGCAGGATCTTGAATCTCGTTGGCGGGCTATCGAAGGAAGAATTAATTCGAAGGAGCATATTTCAGTTAACGAAGGATGGCGTTTCAACGTGGCTTTCAATGCTTTCATCATCAGGGAGAATTCGTTTTTCAAAATAAATTGGGGGCTTCCGAGGGTGACAGCTTAGTGGATGTACTTTCTCGTGATTTTGACTACGGTTCATCCCTGGGCAAGAGCTTGTGGTTAACTGGAGCACTTTCAGTTTTCCTAAACTTATAGCGCATCGGAATATACAAGATTCTTTACAAAATCGTTCCGAGCCGACGATGCCCAGAACGGCCAGAAGCTGCAGCGAGTAGTGCAAAATAACGAACTCGTACTGTATTGGTATAAAATAAAATTGATCTCACGTTTCGAAGTTGGCAGCTGCATTTTCTTTGTCATTGCTTGTCTCATCAGAGTCCAGCTGACGCTTTGCCGAACCGTTGTACTCCATGTGCCCCGCTTTCCTCTCACTACCGTTCAACGTTCCAAAAAACCTTACTAGCACTATCTTACAACCTGGAGTAAAGATTAACAGATTAATACTGGTATTGTGCACTATTCTACACGAAGTGCAACTCATGCTTGAGACATGTCACCGTACTAGGAAATTTCGAACACGACAGGAAGTATTCCAGCAAAAATCCCTAATTCGATTCGGATCATGGCACATTTCATCTTCAGTAAACGTTTTCTTTTATACTTGTGTATTTTCTACAAGCAACATGATTTTCGCCGAAGAATAAATTATCACGATAATTCAGATCAGATTAAACAGGTCTCGGATCGTATTATGAGAAAAAAATGGTCAACGGCCGTGACGGCGGCTACTCGGAGAACGACCGATTTTGTAGAGGATATCGAACTGCCCAGGACGGGAAATCATGTAAATTCGGGGGTCCCAACCTTCCAAGTAATCCTTATTGACTCGCACTCGAGTGATCGGCTTACCCCAGGTACGCTCAGTGACTTCTGTCGGTTCCACGTACTCCACTCGCGTCGCAATTCCGAAACTTCAAAAGGAATGTACAAGGCCATGATAAAACTTGAAATTCTTTGTAATAAGCAATGGCATAATTCCCAAAGCATCATGAAGTGCTTCAGGCTGATCGCAGTTCTAAGATTTGTTTAATGATCACTTAAAATTTAAATTCGGATCCCTAAGATCAGTTGTTGTCAGGAAAAAATGATATCTTTGAATGGAGTATGGATAACACACCAACTTCATCTGGATGTAGACATCGAATGCTTTGATTTCACTTTTAAGACGCAACAAAAAGTAAATTTCATCATGAATTCCAGCATGAAGTCTTTTATGCTGAAAAAACATTTCTACAAGTTTTCACTTCGGTATTTTGTTCACAATTTACTTTCCCGTGAAAAAGGGCCTCGCGGGGGTTTTCTTACATAATTTTAATAGACAAGACACGCTTCGAAAAGAATATCGTAGAAAATACCAGAATATTCCAGTTCATTGCACTATGCCAAGTATAACTAAAATTCCATAATCACAAGCTCCCAACGTTTTAACAAGAATTCACTGTCAATACGCCAAATATGTTCGGATTGTCACAAAAATAATGTACAGTACTTGAATCGCAGGAGATTGCCTTTAGTTCATGGCTGCTTTATGTTAAAATTAACGCATCGTTTCACGTACGATGTGAATCTGGGACCCAAATGAAAAAAATATAAAGGAAAAAATTTCGCGAATTACCGCGCCGCAAGAGCTGTCATTTGAATGTCTTCTGCTTCAATATTCATGGGCTCGACTTCTTTCGCACAAAAAGCTTCCAAGTCCTTCTTGCTCCAATGGTAGAACTTCATGTAATATTCAGAATCTAGCTTGAGATGCGCCGAAGTCACAAGCCTCAAGAAAGCAACAACCGAGTCTGAAACCTAAAGAAAGAGTAATTTCAACATGGCTGTTCACAAACAAGCTGGGAATAACTAAATTATCAGAAGCACGAACGAGTGGATGATTGAAGAACGCGAGCAAGTCATCCCTGGTGATGCCATGCCGAAGCGATTTCAAGACATGGTAAACAACGTCGTAGAAAATCTCAAAGGAAAACAACGGGTAGCCAAGAGCGATCAAATCTTCCCGAGCTCTTCTGATTATATCTTGCGCATTCATTAACTCATCGATGTCATCCAGCAAGCTCTCGAAGTATGCAAATGCGAACGCGCGGTAAAAGGCGTTGCCATCCGGTCGAATCATCCGCATGCTTTCATACGTAGACTGAAATATTTGAGCAGAATTTCCAGAGACCATTTCATAAAAGCTTCGGGAATAAAATTTAGCATTTTCCACAAAAATAAACTGAGTCTCCACATCTAGATATTTGTAACTCGACGAGCAAGCGTATCATTCAAGGTAAATGACAAAACATTCTGACTACCGAATTAAGCCCATGTTCAAAATGCCATCGTACAGTATTTGGTTATCAAATAAAATTGAGTGACACCTTCAAAATTAATGCAAACAGCGGCATGAGAATGATGGGGAGAAACGACTACAAAAATTAACGGGTACCATACTGGCTGGCGAAAAGTAATCAAATTCCACCGGGAGAGGAGTACTACTTATCGTTGCTAAACTAAAGAAAATAATACCACACCATCACCGATGAACGCGGTGACCAGGAAATGGCGAAACTTTGAATTGCACACCAAGAATTCAGGAAAAAGCTATCGTACGGGGAAACGCTTGCTTACCAAGCAAAGGACATCCAGCCAGCACTTTCAGAAGATGCTTATCAATTTCACGTGAAATATTTTACGATACGAATCCACATATGCCTCGAAAATGACCATGAGAAAAGAGCTTACGGCCAGAGCATCGATTCTCGCGGGAACTTTTTTGTCGCGCTCGTGATACTCTTTCTTCAGATGCGTAACCGGCTCCGCATCGCCAACCATCGCAGATTTTTGGGCAATTTCATCAGCAATCTCCTCCTGCTTTGACAACATAGCCTTCAGGCTCAACTCAGTTTTAAAAACATCGCCGTCGGGATTGTCCATAATCAAACTTGCGAAGTCAGCCGCGTTCGAGCCACTGACAGCTTGGCTGGCCGAAGCCGCCTGGTCTGCAGCCACATCCATGATTCTATGAGTTACAGAGGGTAATATCGTGAACGAAAAGAAATGAAAGAGAAGAATTTCAGGGTAATACTCTTGTACCGTTAGTATTAGATCGACTTGAAAGTAAACAATACCAGCTTCATCACTCAGAATCTTTCTTAAAAACCTTCATTGATCTAATGCTCCTTAATCTTTTCGCTATTGGCCCATCTATGTTCAACCTCCTCCCGGAGCGTTTTTACCTATTTTTAGACATGCCGATCTTACAACCAACTGAAGCCTTAGTCACAGCGAGCTATCGATTATACACCCATCAACCGAATATATCACGTAACTGCAAGAATATGGAACTGGCACAGATTAACCTGACATGACACCCAACTACCCTTGTCGAACATACGGTACTTCACGACGCATTAGCCCTGAAGTGAACTGCTCACTTGGGTTATAAAAGACCTGATGTCCGAAAAATAATATTTACCTAATACAGTACATCCCATCGATTCAACATCGGAAGTTGATTCTGCACGTCTGTGAAGACATAGTTGAACCTCAATAACCCGAGCCTCCCTATATTTATTTTTTTTCCTCCCATCACAAACAATGCATTAAAACCCTTCCTAAATCGAAGGCTTTCCCCTTCAAACCTCCAGAAATCAAATATTATGGATGCCCTTTGGCGATTATTTTATGACATGAAAGAAAATATCAACAAAAATGTAACATGATGCATTCTGAAAAGATGCGAGACTAACTGGGCGAATTAAACCCTGGCCTTCAACTTAGGCATGCCTTCAAATAATTTAGGAGGAATTGAAGGCCCAGAATATCAACAGTTATTTCCTGTAATTCTTTTGTTCCCCGCTTACTTAACTTGTTTCCCTAACTCCACTCTTTTTGCTAGTCCATTGAAGTTTCGACTCTTGAGAGGTTCGACAGTATATAATGGAAAGCAGCGAGGAACACGTTTTCATTGCTATCTTGTGCAATGTAAGATCTGAAAAATTGCTTCTTCCACACTTCTGTCCATCGAAGAGCTCTTCGGATGAACTTCAACGCGACCTCAACGACTGATCGTTGGAAAACGAGCAGAATATATGTCTGAACTCCGAGAACAGCATCTATGTACATAAGGATGAGTTCACTTTACAAAACGATTCTTTAACGATCTGACTACACTTAGAGGGGAACAACGGACACATACGAACATCTGCGTAAAACTAAAAAAAAAACTACCACGTTGTTTTAATACGCCGCTGCACAGAATAGTTTCTCCTTCATAACGGACATCGGACACACATACTCGTCATGCACCGTATAGCAAAGCGTGTCCGAAAAGTCAGAGCGCGATACGTAAATATTTACTTGCTAGTTTCAACTTTCCACGGAGCCTATGATGAAACGCCAACAGAAGACCAGAAGTGCAACGAAATCTGCAGTGAGTACGTCACGGAGACAGAATCGCTCATAGATGCAGGGACACGATGAAAATATTACGCCATCCTCATTTCATCAAAATTACACTTGAGACTGAAGTATTGTACTGTAACTCACTTACGGGTAGAGAACACTGTCCCGCAGCAAACCTTACTGATGGATGGAACCTCGATGAAATTCTTCTCAAGTATGAAATTAAAATGCAATTGCAATGTACCACTCGAATTTATATTGTAAATGTCTCCAAAGAATGCTTTTCGAACACCCCATTCATGTGCACAGGCAAGGAATACGTTACGTTACGCAAGGGCAAACTTTCGCGGACACAGCAGCAATTGCTGAAATCTCACGGTGAGAGGGCGGGGGGAAATAGGACGGAACGCACGCTGTTGCCATGCGGACGCGAAATAACGCCGTAACGCAAGCGTTCTGCGGAATTCTGCCAGCACGAAGCAATATCGTAGGAGTCACAACGCAGCTGGCTCGGACTGGAGCGCAACTATTCCCCTCGAGAATCTGGTCATTTGATAAGATTCTATATCACTGTTACACCTCGCACTTGAAATATCCATCAGTTGCATAAACCGCGAATACGGCATTTTTTTCGAATAAGAAATTAAACTGCGCGCATGGAAGCAGATGGTTAACGCGAGAATTTTCAACTCAAAGATTGAGCGGATTCATGAAGAAAAATGCCCACACCTTTCCGCAGTAAGTGAGCAACATCTAGAGATAAAAACGAAGTACAGGCGATTCGCTAACATGAAATCATCCACTTTACCTGGAAAAAATAACGCTAGCCGAAGATGTGTTGAACAACATATGGCGACTTATCGTTCAGATGTGATGTAGCATTAGTGAATTAGCTGGTCAAATCCCTGGGAAGAGTCGTATACCTTTCGGTTTCCAAGTGCAAGTAAAACGTAAATTTGTGCGTGCATAAAGATGTGTGTTATTGGGGCATCTAATGAATTTTAATACACATGCTTTCATTGAACTTTTAGCGCCATACCGTTCATGGATTATCCGTTCACGGATTTCTCATAGAAAGCCTCAAACTGAGTACACCGCCATTCAAGCCCAAATGGCCTATGGATGATGGCGTAACCCATCTCGTGGCCTACTAAATCCCCTGATCTCTGGCCCCTATTCATGTCATTGTCCCTGTTGGTTGACCTTTTGCAACCCATGTCTCCACTTTTGGTGGGTCAGCTTCTTCCAATTGTAGGGAGTGAAACGAAGAAAATTGAAACAACTGTAATGTTTTTTATTTATTTTAAATTACATTATTTATTAATGCTGTTGAGAAAACCTAACAAATCGATACCGAACAATGTGTGTTTGTATCAACTTGCAAAAGTGGACAATGGGTTGAAAAGGGTTAACCAGCAGGGACAATGACATGAATAGGGGCCAGGGATTAGGGGGATTTAGTAGCCACAAGGTGGGTTACGCCATCATTTGTACGCCACTGCGGCTTGGAGCTGATCAACTAATCTCAAACAAAGGAAACATTTCGCAGAATTCCACGTTCCAGGCTCTATTTCGATTCATGAAAATGGCTATTGCGTCAGGGTTAAAAAATCCGTGCTGACTTTCAGATTCGATGAAGAAACAAGCATAATTCAGTCCAGCATTAAAAATAGGACTCTTCCTCAACCGTGTTTAACACAATCATAGCAATTTCAGTTTTCAGATAAAAAAGCATTCCTTAGACATTATAGTCATCGTTTGGCTCCGCCAGCAATGACCTCTTTTATTTTAACAAAAACGTGCCTTCAAGAGTGCCTAAAAAAGCAAATCAATCTGCAACAAGGCCAATACAGAACTGCGAACCATAAGTCTGACTTTGTTGAGTAAAAGTAAAATTCAGTGAAATTTGGGCGGGATGAAATTTTTATAGATCACCAACGGCGTATTTCCATTGCTTTATTGGTTCAACAACTCTGAAAATTTCAGTAATGTACTTTGAAATGTCAGTTTAAAATAAAATTCAGTAAAATCATTCCAACGTCACTATTCAATACAATCGGACAGGCCACACTCACATCGAACTGAAGCCATCACTGAAAAACATGAGTTCGAAACATTCGAAAACGAATTCTTGGATTTTCAAGGTCGGATTGAGATCATTCTCATTCCTATCTTGCATTAATTTATTTCCGCTCAAGTGCTCAATGGAACTAAAATCACACAACTGATCAGCAACAAACATCGTCCATCGAACGCTGCCTAATATTTATCCGCTTTCCACCTCTACACTTGAAATCAACAAACTGAGCCATGAAACGTCCCGCACTGCGAGGAAGCGAAAAAATATCACCACGCGCACTACTCACCAAGTTCAGACACGAACGTGAAATCACTGTACACACAGCAAGTCCAACTCGTGGACTAGCTGCACAAGGGTCCACGCACTCCCTCTCTTCGGAACAAAGGCCAACCATTCCAGAAACAAAGAACGAAGAGAGTGGGTCGCAGACAGGCGTTGGGGGACGCCCTGCACTGTGCAGTATGCTGTACTGTACATCAAAAAGCTTGCACATAAAATGCTTATAAGATGCGAATAACGTCTGGATACCGAAATACTCCGGGGCTACTGTATTTCGAAGATCGGGTGAACCTGAAAATTTCATGGTACAGTATCTTCGACGCACTACGCCATCACCCATACATAATACTGTATTTCAACCAGGACAGGTTATAGGTGGCAAGAAACAATAAGTACTGTATGTTCCACGTTCTTTATCATCTTCGACGCACGCAAACGGAAGAATGCAAAACACGTACGCTTCCTCTTTCTTAACGGTTAGCATAGCTGGACTGCCGGAGTCGCGGTGAATCAGAATCTACAATGCAGCACGTTAAGAACGCGGAAGTCAGAGGCTTCACAGCAACGAGTTCAAGGGCAGAATCACCGATTGTCACACACGAGTTTCGTGAAACGTATGCCCAATGCACGCCAGATTATTTCACATTATTTGTGACCATCATTCATGCTGGCAAGGCACGCACCAGTAAGCTATTGAAAAAAGAAATCAAGATTATACCCGACATTGAAGGGGTTTCTGGGATGCGTTCGATAGGATAAAAATGAAGAGGTGAACACAAGCTGGAAGTAGTTTGGACGATAGCTCCACGCATCACTTCCTCCTCCGATGAAGAAAGAATATTTATAAACGTGGGTGTCCACTTTCAATTACTGTATATCCGTCCAACACTTTTAGGTGTTCCATAAATGTACACTATTCCAGCAGTGTACACATTTTGTAAATACTGTATAGAATCTATAGATCAATGTCATACATCGGAAGCACCCGCATAATAACTTATTAATAACACACCACATACGAGCCAGACTGCTTCCGCGTACGGTACATCCAAATCCAATAAGTCGTAACTATACCCATTTACAATACTTGAACAATCACATATTGTTCCACTATACTGTACTGTGTAACCATGAGCAAAATAACCTTCCTGAGAAGAACTTCCCGAAGTTGTACGAGTTCTTCTGCGCGGAGCAACATCATTTCAACATTGCTCCGCGATAATCGAGAACTATCTTCAAGTGTACAGTATAATATTTCCTGATTAAGAATACCTTTAATGTATATTTTTACCGGAAGAGTATACTGTGCGGTTTGTTGATGGTATTGCACTATGTTTCGACATCGGTGCACCACATACTGTACTAGTGAGAGGAAAAGGTACTTATTGTACTGTATTATAGGATCCACATCCATCAAGCAGAAGCTTGAACCAGTGAATTATCTGTACCCCATTGGGTGTTTCAGCCAGCAAGCTGAGGAAAACGAGCTATATGCAGTACTGTACCGCGAATTATACCTGATTTTTGAAAAATATGGATCAGGACTGAGCAGATACTGTCAAGAAAATTAGTAGATAAAAAGTCTGAAACTGGAGCACATGTTAATCAAGTAATCTTGGAACCCTTCAAAAAAAGAAGGGCGTGACATAATTCCTGTGAACCAGTTTTCTAACAATTCAACACACCATTTTACTTCTACTTATGGTGGACTCCCAAGAGAACTTCAAAGCAAGTGTCTTTCGAGAGCCCCACCCAGATGGCAGATCTGTGAATTTTAGTGCAAGGCTCATGAAGGGGGCACCGCTAAAATAATGGTGACACCGCGCCACACCATTACTCCACATCGCCCCCCACACTCGCACCAAGTCTTTCCTTGGATGGACATTTCTGGGTACAACTGCTGAAGAACGTTAACAGTAAAATTACGCAATAGGCTGTTACCCTTTGTTTATTCTCTGTACGTAAACTGTTTTACAAAAAACTATAATACTTTAGGAGCAGTTACGCTAGTTGAAAGTTATTTTAAACCAACATAACCTAACCTAACTTGAATCACTTTTGAACCTATGTATATTTTATGGCTTTAAGAAAAATTATCCAACTTTGGGGGCAGTTGATAAATTAAAACTTTACAAAATTTTGAATTCAATATGCAGCTGTAAATTTCACATTATGCTCGACTGAAATTCAAAAATCAAGGTGAGAAAATGTTGGTTTTCAACATGCAATATTAAAAAGTGTACTATACCAAGCCAAATAAATTTCACAAAAAGAAAATTAGACAAGAATAGAGCATAATCCAAGAATACCCTGAACCATATCAAGGCAATTTGTTGGCTTTTTTCAAAGTAAAAACTTCTGGGTTTCATTGAAACTTGGTGGCTGGTGGAAGCTGATCTACCAATTTTCAATGAAATAAATAAAATTTTACACATAAAAAGGTTTCCCTTAATATTCTTCTCAAAATCAAGGTGCAAAAGGTATTCAAAGGCTAAAGGCATTCTACTCTTTCTACAGACACATGCTGGTACTCAAGGACAGTACAGTATATAGGGATTGAATTAACTTCCAGAACATCCTGTGTGTGCACTGTATACTGACAGGGTTTTCCTGAAGTTGCAGTCGATGTGCAGTACGGTAATCCTGTGCACTCGACAATCTACAGTTCATCAACAATTGGCAACCTTCTCTTCAAACATACACAGTATTCGAATTGTTTTTCTTGAAGCAAAAAGTGAGCATAAAAATCAAGAAATAGCCCGTGATTTGAATAATCCAACCAACAGCTGCTGCAGATTTTCTTCGATATGGCAAATCTAACCCGGAAGCCCCATATGATTTTATAGACTGCGTTGCTTCCCAGCTCTTGACGAATGAGACATGTTTTCATGATTCGAGTACTAAAAAAAACCCAAAGGAATTCCAAGGTTTAAAAAAAAAAAAACATCGGATAGCACGAGAACTCCTCAGTTCATTAATTCTTGCGGAAGAACATCAATAGAAAAAAAAAAAAAAACGGTTCCAATCCAATACACATGATAAGCGTCGGAGTTGGAGAAAGATCCATTATTAGTCATGCGTTCGATCGCTACACACGGAAAATCGAACAGAAATGAAAAAAATCCTTCTGCACGAATCCCTGGATGCTAATACCTACACGCACTTCAAAAACTCTTTCACCGCTGATCACCATCCCCAAACAGTCAATGACCATCTAGGAGAATTATTCCCAGAGGAGATGTCATTGAGAGGAAGTTATGATTGACTCAAGTACGGGAACCGTGTCTTCTATTTGATGCTCGCAGATCCGCCTTCAAGTACTGTACGTTTGAAAAATGTAATCCAAAATTAATTCACACTGACAAATCGAAGAGAAGCATTATAGGAGCGGGGAAGTAATAGAATACGCCATGGCCTTAGTTCTGTGGTTTCAAGTACTTCACAAGGCCCGGACTTAATCGCGCCCCGCACATCTTCAAATGACAAGAGGGCATACAAAAGTAAAGCGACACGAACAGGACGGGGTAACTGACAAACCGCATTACTCCTTGCGTATAAAATTAATTAAACACACACACGCGCCAAGGAGGGCCTCCGTAAAATGATGGCAAAACAACCAAGAAACTTTTCCCTCACCATTCCTAAGGCAACTGTTTCTTCGCCGAAAAATACGCTGTACACAATCCTGTTATCTTTTAGCAATACTTTTGTCCTGATTAACACATTAAATGCTCAGCACCAATCGAGTTAACTGCCTTTTTAAGGAAGTTGATTACTGACAAGAGGTTCCAAATGCTCATGTCTTTACGATTGTTGGATTTTTCGCGCGATTTCAGTTCTTGCTTTTTCCCCCCTCGCTGTTTTGATGTTCAAGCGGCTTTCATCTTGTCCAGAATTGGTAGCAGCATGTCAAAATTCGGACGCTTGCCCGGGTCTTCGTTCATGCAAATACGGATCAGACGCGCCAGATGATGAGAAATTCCCGGCGGGATGGACAGCCTCAATCCTTCCAGAGCGATCTGAAAAATGAACAACAGAAGATGCATTTTAGTTTTCTTCCCTTCAACACCCGACGCTATTGATTCATGTGACAACTACCAGACAGGTTTTTCGTGTAAAAAATGAATTCAGTAGGTGTACGATCATAATACTGTACTTGATCTGACCCAGCATAACTTTAATTAGCCAGGCAACATTTGTCAATGGAAGAGAAAATCAGATTTTTAAATATTTAGGTGACACCTAAAAGACATGAAAATTACAAAGTTGAGAAAAAATGAGATGACCGCAAAGTTTCGCGACAATGCAGTGTTTAAAGCTTAATGCCACAAATACAAAAAATTGAGTAAAAAAAAACTGTTCACTGCATACAAATGGAAAAAAAATATACAGCAGGCCGTTAAATCGATTCTCACATTAACTATGAACAAGTGCTTTTTCTCCTTCAACTACCGCTACTGCCAAGTTTACCTTGATGCCAGCCTCCATTGGTCCAAAATCAGCAAATGGCACTTGGCGAGTGGCCAACTCCCACAACAACACCGCATAGCTCCACATGTCCGCAGCTTTAACGTTAATATCTTCGCTTCTTTTCTGCAACGCTGCAGAGAATAGATTTTAAAAAACATCACGGGTGACGCTACGGAAAACCAAGAAAAAACGTTAAAAATCACGCGGAACGCCGAAGCCTTCTACGATGAAGTAAACTAGAGCGCATACTGAACACAAATACGATTTAAGCGACACGCAGTACTGTGCAAGTTACATTTGAAATACGCTTCGCGATTTTTCCATTCCATCGTTCCAAGCTGTACTAAAATTTCCAAATTCAAACGAAAAAAAAAAACGGAACGGAATGACTGAATTACGATCGGAGCACTTTTTCAAAATCCGCCCGAATAGCACAGCAAATAACGCGTAAACAAATTGAAATAATCAGGTTTCATTTTACAGTCATGTAACTTGAATCATAAAAAAAGCTGCATATTTGCAACGGTTGGAAAAAAAAATTATTACCTTCAGGCGCCACCCACTGCGGACTGAACATCTTGCCACGCTCTTGAAAGCTGAATTTAACGTCACCCATGTTGATTCGGGCAGTCATATCCTCGTCAATCATGATGTGTTTCGAATTGAGGAACAAGCGGACATCTGGCTTCTCCAGCGAGTGCAAAAATGCCATTCCACGAGCGACATCCGATGCGAACCTCAATGCCAACGTCAGGTCCACCACGACGGCATGCGACGATTGGTGTGATGAGTTTTGTCGGTGAAGAATGTCGAAAAGGGAACCGAACGGCATGTACTGGCTGATAACGTACAGTTGCGGGGCTTCCGTGCAGGCGCCAATCACGGGCAAGATGTTCGGATGTGAAAAAATTCTGATGTACAACATTTAGAAAGGGGAAAAAATAGTCATGAAAACATTTTCAGTTACACTTCCATCAGATTCGGACATAAAATCAAACTCTAACGAATAATAAATACAACTGCTATCTAAAAGTCATTTCCCCAAAAGTAAGATACAGTATACAGCGCTGTACTCAAAAATAAGCACCATATTTCGTTCCCTCTGAGAACATAACCCTCGCCCAAAAAGTTTTATCTCATCGAGACTAATGAAATTCATTTAACCTAGGTCACCGTGATAAAAATGTCACGACAGAACAGAATCAATAAATCTACGAGTTGTCAAAACGAAATAAATGTTTGATGTATGGGCTTGGAAATGTAATTTTTTAAATGTCAAAAATGTTTCATCGTTTCCATAAAAAAGAAAAAAGTGAAAAAGGGAATTCCAAATAATTCAAAAAGAACGGTACGCCATGCAAAAGATTTGTGAAGCTTAAAAAGCCGGAAATTCGGCGTAAGGTTGTTTTGCTTGAATTCATTTAAGCTGGAATACACTCGAAAACTGATCTGATTTCGCGGAAACGCGGCATTTTGTGAGTGAAACACACAGGGATAATCTTTCACTCACCGGAGTCGAGGGAATTCGTCTTTGAAATCACGAAGAACACGACTCGTGATTGTTCTGACGGCAAGAACCTTTGCAACGATTTCGTTTTCCTGCCATTTGCCACGCCATGTTTCCCCGGATGGCGAAGCACCAATGCATCTCTCCAGATGTAAATCGTTGTAATCTATGCCTTTATGTCTCGATAAAGTTGCATCTCCTGGAAACATACGCATACCATGAATACGAGGATGAATAAAATCTTTTCTAGCAACACACAAATTCGAACTTACGACTTCTGGTTTTCAACCCGAGCCAGCTTTGGTCCTTGAATGCAATCTTCTTTAGATCTTGCCCACTCTTGTAAGCCAAATCTTTAAAAATAAGAAGAAATATTACTCATAAAAATTTGGGATTACAGTATGTATAAATGCAAATGTTCAAGTTAATATCGAAAACTATTCCTACACATTCCATTTGGTGAGTAAAAAGGGGAGTCACGCATGCAAGGAGAAAAATATATCCCATAAATTCAATCGTCCCTTCTTTTTCGTTTGTTTACCGTGAAGCTTAGTCGGAAGAGCGCCTTTGCATTTGTCCAGGGGAACTTCATTGTATTTGTTCGCGATCGACACCAAGGCACCTGCGTTCACCAAGTCTTCGGCAACTCCAGCGTATCCCCAGAAACACGCATAATGTAATGGTGTGTTCCCATGCTCATTCACCGCATTCACGTCAGCCTTATTTCGCAGCAACTGGAAATTTTTTTTTAACGAATTTAATGACCTCCAGAAAATTAGAGGGCATGGGTGATGTCCCGGATGAATCACAATTCCACGTCGTATTAACCTGGGGTCATTCCAAGTGTTTTAGATTTTGGGTTCTTCCTGCGCGTGCATAAACACTGCTACAATGGCATACTATAGTTCATTGAGTTTGGGAGGAAAAAATGCGAATACTGTACAATAGTAAAAACCGGCAAAAATAATGTTTTAGATTTTTCCGAAAACGAACAGCGAATATAGATTATGTGCCCCCGAGATGATGCATCAAATTAAATTACAATTGAACCTCGCATCTCACTCGGTCAAAAACCTCCTAATGTTGAATTTTTTTTAGCCCCTGACCGATTCCTCCCTCACAACAGTCACCAGCAATGTCGAATAATACACCCTAACTGAAAAAATAAAATGCCCTTTTTGCCATAAAATTTCTATAACTTTTTCTTGGTCCTTCTGAATTCGACTTCAACTGCATGAGTGAACTGAGATCCTCTCAAATTAGTCTAAAATAAAGGATCTCGCATACCATATGAAGTACATCACGATGACCATGAGCGGCAGCAAGATGCAATGCAGTGTCATCGCCTCGATTTGTTGCATTGACTCTCGCGCCTCGTTTGATCAGCAAATCAACAATGCTTCCATGTCCTGACCAGGAGGCCCAATGTAACGGACTGAAGCCGTGATCATCTCTGTAAACGAGGGAAAAAATGAGTTAAAACGCATAGAAATATTCATTGATAAACAATAAGAAAGCCCTTTCAAGTACGGTACATATTTTATCCGTCCAGACAGGCTTGAAATCATAAACCAGAATTTAGAATCACTTTTACTGGGAACTAGTTTAAAAAAAAACAAGATGGGAATCATGATCGATCTACATCTAGATGTGTACGGTGTGTTCCACACTGTCGAGGGAAAATCGATTCTGCTGCCAGCGAACAGTGGAAATCGATAATTTAAAAAAGGAAAAGCATGAAAAACATACCCCTGATTTAAGTCGTTTTCCGTGTCGTCCAACCACACACGAACTTGGATGGCATTGCCTTCTTTACACCACGAAAAGATATCCTCCATAAGGATAATCACGGATTTGAACGCCGATTACAAAATAGCGAGTTTGCATAAACGATTTCTCAAGAAAGCTCTCATTCCGCGGGGGAAAATAGTAATCTGAAATCAAACGATCATGATCAAGGCCTAAGAATAATCCGTGCAAAGTAGAATTGACAAGGGCGACATTTATTCCTTCAATATGGCCTGAAACGACGAGACTGCTTCATCATCTCGATCCGTCGTTTGTCTTGCTCAAACCGCTTCTGAATTTCTTCGATGTCTGAAATGTATACAACTCGAAGACATCAGTATCGAACAGATTGTGAGGCATTATAAAGAACTTACTTTTCATTTTGCTTTCACGGATCTGAAATGTGTAGAAATTCACTAGTTCCTTCTTGGCGCGCTTCTTTTTCTCAGCTTCTCCAATTTTCATAGTCAAAGCTTCTGATCTACTAAATCCTCCTCGTTTGGAGCCACTGGAAAAAAAAAACAGCCCAGTATAATTTTCCGTGAGATTAAGTAAATCAAGATATCAGAACACACCAAACCCACGTCGTTTAGAACAGAAATACAAACCTTGGTACATTAAACTGAACGAAGGTCTGAAAATATCGATGAAGAAAAAATCATTTCTCACCGACTACCAACTGTAACCCATCCGTCTTCGTCGGGTTCACCCATCGATTTTTCTTGTTCTTTTCTTAAATTCTCTTCTTCGTCGTACCCTTTTAAAAATTGTTTTGCTTCCAAAAGCAGCGATTCTTCGTCAACTAATTCGGCGTTGTACTTCATCACAAAGCCTGTGAATCAGGAAGAAAGAAAAAAAAGCAATTCTACAAGAAGTCCAAGTAATCTTGGACTAATAAGCTATTTAGAGTAGATTACAGATAGAATCACAATACAGTACTGTACTAAAAATGATGTTCTCATGTCCTCAGCACAGCCACAATGCTTGCGAATCTATAAACGAGTCTTTAGTTATGAGGACCGTTCTTTTTACGTCTCACTGGCTTTGTTAGTTACGAGACTCTAGCTGTAATTCTAGAATAGGTTTAATTGCAATACCTCATTTCCAGCGCGCACACACGCGTATTTCGCAAAATAAGAGTTTATTTTACGAAACTTACTAAAATTCGATTCAAAAAATTACAAAGAAACGCGAAGCCGTTTCATTTTTAGCATTGTTTGTCGCCGCAAAAAAAATCACACTGCGTCTCTCAACGAGTCGGCGACATAGTACTGTACAGGCAGTTCGTCGTGTAGAAGCAGTTTCGTAACGTGAACGACATCTTGCTACTCTCGTTGAAGTTCGCCGAACGTTACTTAGAATACTGTACAGTATACAGTATCTTAATTTGCGGCACATCAGAAAAGTTTGAAATTCAATCAATAGAAACATGCTCCTACGGTACACTAGATTTTGAAAACCTGCATGAACGTAAGGTAGCACTTGGCCACTTACTTTGAAGTCCATTGGCAAAATTGTCGACGCTTGACACCAAAAAAGGCGTGTTGAACACGTGACTCAGAGCTTTACTTACTGCTTCTGCTTCGGAGAAGACCACGTACGCAACTTTGTATCCCTGTACATCATACACAACCAATATCACTATCCATGAGTCACGCATTGCCAAAGAATCTCAAGAATAAATTCCAACGTCACTCACTCTCAGAGACTGGTCGTCAAATGATGGATAGTTCGTTGAAATACTCATCGTCGCAGCGTGCACAGTGGGTTTCGCCTGAAAAATGACTTCCAGAATATCGCCGAAATTCGAGAAGATATGCTTAATGACATCCTAAAAGCAAATACGGAACACCTTTCAAGAATCCCATTCCCGACGGGCTACGAGAATCACGTACAATTGTGAATGACGGAGGAACTTCTGTCACCAACAGCGTCCTTCCCAAAGGCTTTTCTAAACAAGACTTACGAACTTTGTGCTCTTTGATACCCAAAAGGCAAAAATGTTCCGCATCCTCATTGAATTTCCACGGAACAACTGTTGGACATAATGCGTAATTACTAGACAAAATATCTAAAACGGACGTTCCTTACCTCTGAACCCATCAGCTTCGAAAGGAATGTCGTCGAGACCTTCGCGTATCACATTGTCAGATTTCTCACATAATTTCTCACCCTTTGACCTAATTTTCCTTTTCAGCTTATTCAGGGCTTTCCCCATCACACTAACCATCGTCCTGCGGAACAATGGAGAAAAATTCGAACAGGTGTTCCACCTCCCACGCGAATCGACTGACCCGCAAGAACGGGCGGAAAACGAAATGAAAGCAAAAGCTCCGACACAATGCGAGCAACACGGGTTATTCAGTGCTTTGCGGCGATTTCAATTCTCCTGGTAGTTCATCAGTCACTGAGTGAGTAAGATTAGAGAATTTGAATTTCTCCTCGTAACCCTTCCGTCTGAAATCGAGGATTCAAGAGCCTGGAAAAACTCAAGAATCAAAAAAGAAACTTCCAATTGAGTATCCGAGGATTTCGGAAAAGTTTTCTTATCAAGAAGCTACCGAACATGACATCAACACATGTTGCTAATGGGGAGAGAAAAAGAGTTAAACTTGTTTTCATTCATTCATTGCCGAGAAGCGGCTCATCGTTCATAGGTGTGTACGAATTTTTGACCTGAACTCGACATAGATTTTACAAAAAGCAAAAATAAGATTTCGAATCGCACAGGTGAATTAATTTCGAAAGGTAGCACAAGCGAAGCGGCATTCTTCTTCGAACCTCTTCTAGCCCTTACAAAAGTACACAAGAACTGGACAAAACCAGAGGCATTCGAGGCAATCAAGGCCCTGATGACATGTGATTCAGAGGAAATTATCAGAACATTCAACACTCACATCAGGTATTCGTAATCGGGAAATTTATTCATCACATACAAAACTCAACTGCACTTTTCAGATTCAAATTCATTCAAAATCCACCTCAACGGATCATCCAGGAAAACACAACAAAATGGAAAGATCTTTGCTTGGTTACAGAATTACGAGTGGTGAAAATCCTGAGACTGGACGTAAAATCCTTGACAAAATTGGCAGTATTCGTAAGATCACATTTAGAAAAATCTGGAGCTTTGACCGAAGCAATTCTAATTCATCTGCATCGAGATGCACGCGGGATCTTCCATTCGATCAAAAAGAAGGCATCTACGTGGCCAAAACATTTACTGCAGTACGACAATGTATGCAATATGACTCAAATACCTTTAAAATCGATCGAAAGCCTTTGCAACAGTGGTCGTCAAGAAATTACCATCGCGATCATCAATTACGATGCTTTGATAAAAAACATGCTTCCCGGCTATCATGCTATATACAAACTACTGGGTCTAGTAGAAAATTGCAAATCACATACTTACTTGAAACTGCACAACAACGTAGGCATCATTCCATCAAATTGCAATAATTCGTTCACGACGAGTAACAAGGTTCTAAACGAACGACGTACGATTTACGAGACCGATGAAGAATATTATGGAACATTTCGGAAACGGGTAGACTTCAATCCGGACGCATGGAAATTTGAACTTCAGTCAAAGGACACCAGAATAAAAACATGCGTTTCTGAGGAAGGGCCGAAGACAAGAATCGTCTGCTATGCGCACGGTTCCCATGGAAGAGAACACCGCTTAGGATGACTGATTTCACAAAAACCAATTGTACGAATGTGAATTTCCAACTTTAGGGGAAATATCTTGGACTTAATTTAAAATAGAACAGCTGTATTAGGCAGAAATGCGATGTACCACGCTATTCCGAAAGGGATCCAACACACAACTCAGATGCGCGATGTTCGCAAAATAATCGTATATTAAAGCAAGTGTGCACTATAAATTCGGGTACACGAAGCATCGAAAACCACAAGTTCACACGCGGCACGACTGCTTGCCGTTAAAATCTCAGTTATCCGATTAACTCGCGCGATCGAGATCAATCGCTGTCACTGACTGAGAAGAGCCGTTTCATCTTGTTAGCATGTAGGCTGCCACCTTCGGTCATTAGTATAGAGCTTTTTTGATTTACACAGGAATCATGAGGAACCTGCAACGTCGCGTTACGCTGTAAAATACAGTAGTATGTGAGCTAACCGCTCTGGCAGTGGGTTTTTTGCGTGCGTTCTCAGTTGGGTTACTTGCTGGAGGTTGATATGGGGGAGGATATGTGAAAGCTTCTGGAGATCACAAATTTTGCTGTGTGTGACGAAATCGGCGGAATGTTATGCATAGGAATTATGATTTCAGAATGTTGAATGGATAATTAGGAATAAGGAAGTAAGTAAATGAACTAGCATTAAATGTTCGGTTGATTTATTATCCATCCGTACCGTGAAGCATGATTTCGTTGCGGTAATTTTTAAATGGAAATTCGTGAAATAGAATTAGTATGACGGAGGAAAAAAGAGCATCTAATTATTGTGCAGAACTTCCTTATTCGCCTACAGGCTTTTAAATTCTCGTAGTGTCCTCAAGAAATTTTCGTCCGGGATGTCTGACGAACGAGTTCATGGTCAACAGTCATCTACTTCAACTCAGGTAAATCAAGACAAATTGCAAATTTCGACGGGCTCATCGTCTACTTCTGCCGAAGCGTTGTTCGGAGAAACGTGGGTGAGGCGATGTTTTGGTGTAAGTTTCGAATCGACTTAGCAGAATTCATGGAATAAATTGTTTTAAATTCTCTAGCCGCAGAATTCGTTCTTCAATGGAAATGTATATTACACAAGCGAACATCAGGTACCGTTGGGAACCTTGGAAGCCTTAACTTCATCGAGTTACGTTTCAATGTTCGGCACAGAATTCCGCGCCTCAGCTGGCATGGATGGCAACCCATCGAACTATCAGAGTAATTATTTCCACGATCCTATATTCCGGCACTTGTACACGAGAGGTGACCCACCGAAGAATTCACGCGCGCAGCCATGACTTTCGACACTCATCAATTTACCAATTTCTTATTCCAGTGGTCACCAATACATCGGCTTCGAGTACCGCCTCGCAGGGTCTCTTTCTGAGTCTACAGCAGCAGTATCCGAACTTGTACCCACAGACATGCGTGAATTGGAATTCCTACGGAAACGAAAATTGGCCGATGCAGTCTGTGTATTCTCCTGCCCAACAGTTAACTCCTAATGCGAGGCTAATGGGTGGCACATATACAGGTGCAAATCATTTTGTTCGGAATGCGAGAAACTCCGACGTTCGAGGGTACTATATTTGCATCCTTCTTTCACGTGTAATCCGATGGACCTTTATCGTGATAAACAAGCCTGTATTTTCCTTTTTTTTTAAATGATCCAAATCACGTTTTCAAGTATTTGAATTTAACATGAAGCATTTTGTTTGTCTGTGCTAAAGTTTTCGCCATTGGTTTCTTGCCGCGTCATTCCGGAGATAGCTCAAATTTCCTAAATGTTTTCAAAATACATTTTTGAAGTTATTATATTGCGTTGAATTAAGGTGCGGTGTTGAAAGTGTCTACCCTTCCTTTGAACGACAGTTTTTAATCTAATGGATGTTCACCTTTTTTATCTTCTGCAGGATAACCTATTCGAATTACACGAAACACTGTAGTTCGGGGGGCATTCAGGCATCATCAGAGCAACATGCTGACCAGCCTTCAGAGCAAGCGAATCATGTTCGTCGTTCTTCGACTTCCTCAAATCGATGGCGTCATCATTCAAGAGCCTCTGCGAGAAGTCAAGTAAGTTTTAGCCAAACCAAAGGAAATTTCTAAGGAAGATGAAACCTTTCTTGGGAAAGCCGTTCGTGGTGATCCGTCTAAGACGGTGGGTTTCTAATGCAACGTTGACAGGTGTACGTTTTCTTTGATGAGCAAAATATACTATTTTCTATGGCCTGGATTTTTGTGCGAAGTAGAGAATGGCAAGTGATAGTCTTGAATTTCACTTTTTCTTTCAAGGCTCCTGTTCTGCATCACGCTGCATATCCGCCATTTTCCAAGAATCCGATTATCCGGGAACCAACCAGTTCGAATACTGATGAAATGTTTGGCATTGGAGCAGGATGGCCGTATGTCACAGCGCGTGGAACAATTGCTTTGCGATTGAATTGCAATGTCATAGTGGAGATTACGTGCGATGAGTCCATCCGACTAATCAATTACCAGGTGAAGAAGCGGGGGCGATGATTTTTCTGAAGCACTCTTTGTATGCGACTTTGCGCCATTCACTCAGTTATTGCTTAGTCGAAATTGGTAGCGACTACGGTATCTGACCAAATAAATTCCTTGTTAGGATAAAGTTTTGCTGACGGTTAATGCAACCGGACAAAATTCAGCGTTGGTGCATCCATACGGCCGAGTCCATCAGAACGATGGAAGGGTTGAGATTGTCATTTATGAACCGGACGGCAATCATAAGTTTGCGAAGATGTGGTACAAAGGAGTCAGCTTCACCGCCGACCAATGTTCGCTTGTTTATCTGGTCGACGAAGGTATTTAATTATTGTAAAAACCTGAGTTTGATAGTCCTGCAGTTCAGCAGTTGATCAAAAGGAAATAAATCCATTTTTGTGCTATTGAAATTTTTTTTGTAATTTTCAAAATTAAAAAGAGAAGTGCCAGGAAGCTGATTTTCACGCTCCAAAAAAAAAATTTCCTTAGTTCACCATCAACAGGAAGTATTTGTCGTAATCAGAAGTACATGAAAGAGGCAGAGAAATTAAAATCGAGAAATTGATTGTCGAAGATCTTTATTTGAAATTAGATGGTGGATCAGTTACACTATTTTAGTTTGGTGATACGAGGTAGCAATAAAGCGATGTAGAGAGAACACAGAAAATTGTACAAGTACAATGTTACATTTTTAAGTTACAGTAGATTCGAGTTAAAATTCAGAGCGTTCGTTTTGTTTTAGTCGATAGAATTATTCATTTTAGATATAAGGTAAAGATTTCACTTACAAATAGAGAAGAAATAGTACTCTTTATTGCCATTCAATTGCGTGGCGTATACATTTCGTAATTCGGGCGGTTTGAATTAGGCAATGCTTCCGAAAGACGAGTCCATCAGTTAAGAATTGATCATGTTTAATGTGCTAATGAATTTGCATTTCCTTTGGATAGTTATTTGGTTCTTGGTTTTTAATATACCCAGGTGGTACCCGTACTACTGCGGATCGTTTCTCTCCGCAACTTCACGCCCCGGCATTCGCAACCTCTCAAGTTTTTTTGGGAGGAGCGTGCTATGGTTGCGAAACTGCATTTTCGCAATGTTACGTGATTTTACAAGAGTCATATGATTATTGCCGATTGAAGAGTGGAACTGAGGTTTGGGTCATCAACAATGTGAGGGTAACCATGACTGAGGACCAAGTGGTAACGTGAGTTTATTTATATTTTCCGCGAAAATCCTCCATGGTTGCTCCTAATTGCTTTGTTTGACCTGCCATAAATTTTATAATAACTTGTTGTTATTGCATGTTTGGGAAGTATTTCAAGCTTTATATTCATTGGGGGTTCTTTAAATCTAGGGTTACGAAAGAAGTGAAAGAAAACGGAAAGAATTTTAAGCGAAAGCTGAAGACATCATTGGGCATTGGAAGTGCATACCTTTCGACTCCAATGGTGCATGCTACGGCTTCACAAGGACAGAATCCGCATCTGTTCGTGAGACGTGGAGAAAAAAGGCTGCATAAAGATCCAACGAGTTTGGTCGTCCGCAACGGGGGACATTCCGCCGGTTTTGATGAAAAGGGCAGATTGAAAGTGTTCTAAGGAAATTTGATGAGCTTCGGTAGCGACTCGTAATTTTTTTTTTCTTCGTGTTTGTCTGGTGGTCCTGTGTTGCGATTTTTTCTTATTGAATCGCGTGCAAATTTTGGTTGACCTTTTTTTTGTTGAAGTTCTCTCTTCGCGCTTTTGAGGTCTCAGTGAGTTACATGCGAATGTGATTTGAGATTGCGGACGTACAAAGAATGTTTCCAGTTTTTTATATTCGTCTTTTGAACCTGGTTCGTGACACCGCTTTGAACTTTGTCGGAACGCTAGGTGTGAAATTCTCATTGATCGCCAGTAAGTTGATCTCGCCTTGATCAAGTTCGATTCCATGGAAATGCTTCCAAATTCTGAGTTCGATGTCCTTTTCGATTGGATGGCAACTTTTCTTTGTCGAGGCAGGAAGATTTTGTATTTCTGCTGCTGGTGGGGTTTCGTGTTGAAAATTATTGACTACCTATGTGATACGACTGCGAGCTTTGAGGACGGGTGGGTCCGCTTCGAATGGTCCGGTCAGGGTTCGATTTTGCGCTTCGGGTATTCAATTGTGATCCAGGAACGAGGGGAGGACGAGACAAATGCCGTGGAATTTTCGATGACTCCAGTTTCAGAGGAGCGTAATAAAGGAATACGACTCTTCTGTGTTTTGTTTCTCATTAGATTCTGCCGTGGAAAACCGAAGTGTTTCTAACTTATGGTTTTCTGTTCATTCGAAGGCATTCACGCAATGGATTCATTCGTACTCGTGAATTAGACATGAAAATGCCTGTGTTGAATGGATTTTCCAAAGCTGTAAGTTGCAATTCTTGATTCACTGATACGTGACCTTCTCTATGCGGTCATCCTTCCAGCGGACGAGTGAATTGGAAGATATCTTGGAAAAGTTTGAAAAAGCGGGAGAAGGCGGAATACAGCACTTGACGTCCGTTTCAAGTAGGATTGACAGGCTGAAAGATGACCTTAATCCCATGCTCGAAACCATCGAGCCCCTGAAAGTCAAACTCGAAAGTGAGGGTTTTGTGAGTTACGATATTTTATAATGCATTATGCTTGTGCAAGTGTGCGTAAGCTATCCACAATAGCATACTCTTTTTTACTGCGAGAGTAAGAGTAACATGAATTTAACGTGGTATCATCCAATTTTCTGCTCTTCACAATGGTGTTTAGCTAATAATTATTTAGCCTTTTGCAGATAATCGCGTTCTATGAAAATTGTACTGTGTATGATTTTGAGGCGGAGAGGCAACTCACTCAAAAAAATGGTGAAAAATGAGTTGTTTTATTTTTCGAAATGCCCTTTCCATGTCATGCTTTGGATTCTCTCTAGATTTTGAATCGTCCTGTGTATCGATTCTGATGAGCACTCGATTGAACTCAGAAACTTTCAGGAAACCACAGAATGATGTGTTTAAAGTCACACATAGAGGAGGTTGAAGAAGGAAGTTCGGGAGTTTCTGAAATTCTATGTTTTATACTGTACTGTACTTGCTAGATGAAATGCCTTGCTGTATTTCATCCAGTTATTTAATCTCGTAAATTTATGCAATATTATCTCTGAACTGAGCTGAAGTGCGAGTATAGTAGGGGAACTCACAACATTTGATCCATCTAGATTTTGGGTTTCATCAGATGTGAAGAAAGCCCGAGCAGTTCTAGACGATGTCAGCAAGTACTTCAGAGTTACGGCGCAAGTCGATGAAAAAATTCGTAATGGAACCGGAGGCAGTGGCTCAGGGTCGATTCCCGGGTTGAACTTATACTTGAATGCATTGGATCAATTGTGGGATGCCTGGCACTACTTCCATCTCCGAAATCCAGAACATCCCGAGTTTGACCGAGTTGTAAGCCGTGTTGAGCGACTTTATCATTTTACTTGCCTCAGCTCACTCTCGGTTGCAGAAAAGTTTGTTCGAAATTGGCGTTGGACATCTGAATACAGCATTAGAGGACATTTTAGTGCAACATCGGAAGCCCATTATCCCTCCCCAAGTCATTTGGGATGCTTTGATCGGAGAACAAGGTGATTTTCACGAATTTTCGCGTCTGGGTGCCTTTTTCTTTTAGCGCAGTAGACTTGATTGTATTTCGTAAAGAAATCTCTATGATTGAACCAGTTGAAAAAAAAAATATTTTATTGCAAATATTGATTCCGGGTTTCGCAGATTCATGCAACCCAAGTAACATGAATCTCAAGAAGAGGCTGAACAAAAGTTCTCGATCATATCTTCCTTGTGACGGTTGAATTTATTCCTCGTAATTCGATTATTTTTTTTACTAGGAAAAATAAAGGAATTATAAATCATTTTCGCTGACGTCACAAATTTTAAGGCGATGATCCTGATCTGAATGTTTTGAAGAAGTTTTATCCCATGAATAGCTTTTGATGCAACCACGAACTTTCTTCTGATCTCAAGTATGACGTAGGAATTTGCTGGATTTTTATTTTATTCTTTCAGATAGAGACGTTGTTCAGGCGATGCTGAAGTATGAAGCTCCTGTACTGGATACCGTCGTCAAACTATGTTCTTGGCTGGCCGCTCATAATCAATTTGGTTTCACCCAGATTTATGCAAAAACGAGGACTGGGAATGTTATGAAGGGGATTCTTCAAGTTAGCGAGTTTATTAAAGCTGACATTCTGTCGGAGAAGATCGGAGGGGCCGTGTTGCATCCAAGGCCGAACGCGAATAGGTTTGTTCAAGATCATTTGTGAGTACTAGTAGAGATTTCATTTACTCTTTTATTGGACTCTCTTTTGACAGATTCGAAAAGAAAGGAAGTGGAAGATCTAGGTGGGTGGATCATTTGTCCCGTTCGGTTACACACTGGGCAGCCTTAGTTGGGAACAACGGTAGTGCAGGAAAGTCGGGTTCTGCAGCGCAGAGCATGACTGGTTCTGGTTCTGACGTCGCTGCAATGCTGTAAGTGATAGTTCTCTTCTTTTTGTTGGAAGACAAAACAACATTGTCACATGATTTTTCACGAGCAAAAAGAGACACTTCTTTGGGAGTGCAACTTACCGCCGAACTTCAGTGGTGTACTCGTGATGGTGGGCATTCTAAAAAAATCGAGAGGATTTCCCCGTTCCATCGGAGCTGTTGTAGTGACTGGTTTGATAAATCTTCCTTGTGTTTTGCCTTGCGAACCATAAAAGAGTATCGTATTTAGTCTCCCGCGAGAGTATACCGACATGAACAAAAATTAGAAACACTGGAAATCCCGGCTCTGGCTGGATTTATTAAATAAGCTTATTGAAAAGAGGTTTAAAATCGTCCTCATTCAAGCCTTTGAACCTTGGGCACATTGTTTCTCGTCTATGATTTAGGTAATCCAGTAAAAGCGGCCAATTTTCCCCTTAATATTAGGCGGACCACCCATTCATGACCGGATAACCGGTTCAGATGATTTCAGTTCGTTTGCGGGAGTTGACACATCGTACAATCCGAGGATCACAAACAATTTTCTATGAAACAAAGCTCCTGTCTAGAAAGTACACTGGAAAAGACGCGTGTGATCGTGAAGTTTTAGCTACCTATTTTGGTCCAAGCGGAGGTATTCGAGCTTGAAAATAAGAGGATGGTGCATTAGCTCAAAATGAAATGCCCTCGGTCTTCGATTCCAAGAAGTGAAATTTTTTGAAGGTTGTGTACAAGTTTTTTCTTCCGTATTCAAGAAGCAGTCGTTTATGGAAGTGCGCTGGGATTTTGTGTCTCGAATCACGCTTCGTGGTTTATTTATTATTTTTAAATCGTGAACAGAGACGGTGATGAAAGTGATGATGTGGCTTGGGACGATTCATCCATGGATTGGGCCGGGCCAGGAGTTCATGGATTTTTAGCCGCCGTGGGAGCCTTCGTTGTTTTGGCCATGGCCGAAATTAATTTGGCCAAGCAATTGGTGCCTCCTGAATTGCTCACGAAAGCCGTAGAACCGATACTGAGCGACGGTTTGGACGTCATAGTTAGAGAGGGACATGTGAGTATGCATTTTCTGAACCCCGATTGTAACTTTTTCAGAGCTCGTCTGGCATTATTTTTTAATTTTGCCTTTTCACCCTTCCTGTTCGATTCACTCGGTGAAACTGTGTCTGAATTTGAAATTCTTCTCCATTTTGTAGGGGCTCGTTGCTCAGTTGCAACCATCTTTGTCAAACTCCATATTCGTCGTTTTCCTGTTATTCAGCCGTTTGTTGAAATTGAAAAAGAGTGTGGACCAAGTTATTCAGAACTGCGCACCGCTATTGGCAGACACGTATTCCAATCTTTTAAGCACCTTCAGAGATATGGTGAGAAATGTCTTTTTTTCCTATTTCTGTCAAAGCCCTCGGTTTACATAAAATATGCGTTTAGGATATTTTGCATCAACAGCTACTGCATTCGCGTAAAGTTCCCACTTTTTGGAATTCAAATCGAATTTCAACATTTTACAATGCCGTAAATATATTCCATTCATAGAATAAACTCGAACTTCTTACACGAACGCCTGATGTAGTATAGGCCCTTTTAAATAAAAATAAATTCCTTCATAGATGGTCATTCATCTAAATTAAAAATGTATTTATTATATATGTGGCTAAATTCGTTGGTTCCACAGGAATGGGAGTCTGGAATTGTCACGGGCGAACCGTGAACTCAATGTTCCATTATTTCTAGGCAGTGAAATTTTGAAATGCCAAAACGCACTAAAGTGGAGCGAACCCAGTAAAATTGTTGACCATTGTGCATTTTTCAGGGGAGAAATTTATGTAGGCACATCTTATTCTCAAGGAAAGTGTCTTTCTGATCGTTGAACTCGTCTGAACTTCGTTTAATCCAGCTATTTTTTTTTATTCAGCGAAAAATAGTGTTGATGCGTGACTTGCGGATTTGAAGCAATTATATTTTTTACTTGTAGGAGGGTCAAAGTTTGGAAGAATTGATTGATGGAATCAAAAGTGACCCAGACAAACACGTACCGTCTGATGGCACAGTGCATCAATTGAACTCGAAGGTTATGTGTTTCTTGGAAGACCTATCCGGATCAGTGGACGCTGTGGGCCAGGTACTCAAGGACAAGCAGATTTATTGCAATGCTGTACAAAAAATTCCTCCAGATGTGGACAGGAGTCGCGCTCTTCTTGCTGTTTATCTCAGTGAGTGGTGATCATTAATTACTTCCTTGTTTTTTATGATGTGATACGAAGTCGTGTTCCTGATTTCCACTAGCGTTTCTTCATCACGCGTTCATTTTTCAGCGAGGGTCGTGTCAGCATTGAAATCGGCGCTAGTTATGAAGAGTGAAAGTTATGGTGACAACGTTTTGAAAGCTGTTTTTCGACTGAACAATTTCAAGTACATGCTGTCCACTATGCGAAGATACAACCTTGTGGATATCATTCAAATTTACCAACCGGAATGCGAGCAAATCTTGGAAGATAATGTCGAGGAACAAAAGCGGATATATTTGCATAGGTACGTTCAGGTCGACGAATTTTTACCTTGACTTAGTAAATTTGGAAAGTGTGAAGGAACGGATGAGTCTGACAATGTCTTGGCTCGATAAGTTTTGAGATTATGGTGGTTGCATTTACCGTATTTCCTTTTTCTTAAAAAATTTTTTTTCAATTTCTAGCTGGAGCCGTGTGAGTTCATATCTAATCAACTGCGAAGTTGCTCCGAATAACCTGCTTAGTGCCAAGCCAAAAGAGAAAGATCGTCAAATTTTGAAAGACAGATTCATGGTAGAGTATATTTCGGATTAATTCCATTAAGGGAAAGATTTTTTTTTACTTTACGGAATGTTTTCTTTTACAGGGATTCAATAAAGATTTCGAAGATTTGGTGCGCGTTCAGTCAGCATATGCTGTGCCTGACGCAAGTTTGAAGCATATGCTCAGGCAGGAAAATGTGGAATATGTTGTCCCGAAATACAACGCTTTTTACACAAAGTAAGTAGATACCGGAATGTGATCTTTTAAATGTGTTAATTTGCATTTTATTGTCTTTTCCGAAGATTTTCGGAGCTTCCATTTACGAAGAACCGATCGAAGTATGTGAAGTACACCCCGAACGAGGTTGCAGCTATGATCGGCCGATTGTTTGAGGGTATTAGCGGCTAAGTTACGGAATTCAGCATTAATTCAAGTCGTTTCCACTTATCTACATACTCATTCGGATTACGTCCGAGTATTGCCCATAGTTCCTTTGAACCCTTCAAAACTACGGAGACTTTGTGATTATGCTGTAAATTCTGCAGCGTATGCCTGATTGTTGATGATTGAATGTGTGCCCAAATGAGACACGCTAAACTATCGCGGTAATTTTTTTATGGTGTGAGCAATATAAACACATGTTCTTTGTGAAACACGAAATTTCTGCTCTGTTGGTTGCTACGGAGGGAACTTCTGCGTTAACGGGATTCTGTCCATGATCATGGCGAGTTTCTTATACCTGGGGAAAGGTGTAAGTTTTGCCGTATACATGCCCTATGGAGGGTTTTTATCAGTATTGTCTGTTTGCAAAATTCTCGTAGAAGGAAAAAAACTTGCTACAGTATGTGAGTATAGTGGAGTATAACTTTCATTACTCAAGAGTCGAAGACATCCAGTGCTGCATGCCAGCACATGATTTTAAATGCATGCACTCGCTGTATATAGGGAACAATAACAAGCCAAGGTACTGTATAGTGAAAATACAGTACAATATTCAACTTGAGCAAAATATCTGAATGATAAATTGGCATAAATAAAGCGTTCCTCCAAAATCTTTTGGAATTCATTCTAGCGTTTTTAAACCTGCCATATTGGATTATGTTAGATATTTGATCAACTGCAGGAAAATGACGCACTCTTCACCAGTCTGAATACAGCTGTAATCCAAATTTTATTTGTTCTGTTAAATGCGTACCCTTGCTGAGAAGTCAATTCAGAACTAAGGAATTTTTGAAGAGCGTTTTGTTACGGACTCATGCATGGCAACAATTATCTATTAGACGATGAAAAATTCTGCCTTGTATACGCATTTCCTGGATCAAAAATGTTTGAGAGGCTAAAAATCAGGAGTTTCAATTTTTTTAATAATAGCTCATTTGTTTTCAATTTATATTTCCAACTTATTGTACTTCAACCTTCCCTCTTTTCAAATCGTGACCTGAAAATATTTGCTTATGGGGAAGAAGGGAAAAAAGTGTTTGATATGACTATACAGCACAGCAGTTCCAGTATAGTACCAAAACTAAAATAAAAAATGTAAAATTCTTCACAGCAGGGCTTTTCAAGTAGTGATATACCTGAATTCGTTTTCCAGCAGGTATATACGTGGACTCATATTTGGAAGTATGGATTTTTTCCCTATAACTTAAACAATTGACAGCAACTTATTAAAAAAGCTTGGTTGAGTGCTAATCTGGAGTTATGAATTGTCTGAGGGCACTGAAATGTAACAATTCAATGAGAACTCAATTTTTCGCACTTTCGAAGTGTAACGCAAACTTTTTTCTGGGTCAGACATTTACAGCCAGATTCCGAAAAGTGAAAATTGTCAGGATATTGTAACTAGAAAAGTTACAACTCAAAATTTAATATTGCCTGACACATTATGAACATTTTGAAACCCCTTGACAATTCCAATGCAGTGAATATTTTCAATTGAGATTTGAGGCCCCAGCAGATTTATCAACTCAGCATGATATGCTGTAAAAATTTCAGCTGTTCTATGCAAAACATGTCCTACAGCTAATGCACATATTGTCCCAGGAAAATGACAACAACCCATGTAGATTCCATGTAACATACTCATGCTTTCTGAGACGAATTGTCCCACCATTCAATAAGATATACTGTACTGAACAATGACCCCAATACCTGCTATGTATGTATAGAGGCAGCAGCTTTGCGCCAATGCGAATTCTAAACGCAGCCATGCTTTCAACAAATGGAATTCGTCTGAATTTACTGTACTGATGTTATACAGCAGTACGTGTACTGCATGGGGTTTCATGGTAACCAGCTGAAACTTGATTTGGTAAACACATCAGCAGCGCCCTAAATCCTTTATTCGGAGCGGCAACCAAATTAATCCTGGTTACTGATGCCTCTTCAGTCGGTCATTTTTACTTCGGTAGTTGCTCTGCGTTGAAATAAGAACAATAAGGTAGTACAGTACGGTATTACTGTACAGTATAAGGACTTGCTTGATGCCCAGATCCCCCGTGAAGTATGTGCCGAACTCGCTAGAACGATTGTGCGCCGCCATGACAGCTACAAGAGCAACCTCGAATGGAGGTTTTCACCTACCATTC